AGCCAACATGTATAAAACGTATGCAAGCTCATGTATACCAAAATTAACTTGTCGCCGCAGCAGGTCAGTACATTTGTAACATATGGATGTATGAGAAACGTAAAAATTCTTGTCAGCGGCGAGACATATGTACAATACGTTTCGCATTTATCAACAATACGTTAAAATGACGTTAAGGATATCCTATCCATTTAAAAGAGTCTTGCCTCCTTTCCGCAATCGAATAAGAAGCGAAAATAAGCCGCATCTTATGCCTAACGTTTACAAGCTTATGTGTAACTCATGCGCGTCAGTTCGTGCTCCCTGATGTCATTAAAATATTTTCATGCGCGTCGGAACGTACATTGACGTAACGTTTAATAGAGTGTCTAAAACGTTTACGGTGTATCACGTACTGAAACTGTCTTTAATGTTAACGTATATCTAGGTCAGCGATCGGATGAGCTTCTTTCTGATACGATCGTATACATTAATAACATACTCTGCAGTTTCTTAGCCCTCTTTTGTTCAGAATTGTCTTGAATCACAACAACTCACGGGAATGCAACAACAGCTTTGTGTATTTTTATGTTTAGAGTTTTAAGTCTTTATAAAAATGTCTTTATGTAATGTATAGTACAGAAATACTGAAATTATCACGATTCAAGAAACTGCTATCAAAGATTCTATATTTTCACTATGTACCAATGTTGCTAATGAAGATTCAAATGCAATATTGTCCGCACTAATGTTAAACTTTAGCATATATATTTCAGTCGAACGCTATTCCAAAATGTACAGTATATATAGATAAGAAACTTGGGAAAATCAATAAATAGTTATTGTCCCTTGGATGCAATATACATGCATATTGACATCAAAAATATCATCTTACATATTTCCAGGGTTATGCATACGTTTTATGATCATGTTTAAGAATGACGACCTGTATCCGTTTGAGAGGCGACTTCTGTGTTCTGTTGATATGAATAAATACACAATAACGCATTTAAAACTTTATTGTTTTGATATTAGATATACTTTAGACATTATTTGCCATACAATTAGTGTCAAACGATGGATACAAATTCAGAAATTGTGACCATTTAATAGTTTTTATATGTGCAATCAATTCTAATGACGCGTTCGGGACGGGAAATAAATTTAAATTATACATCTGTGTTTTATTCACAAATCACTTAAATCTGTAACAAATAAATATTTTTTTACTTAAAGCAGAAGATTTTGACAATGTGGCCGGCAGTCTGTATTTTCCTAATTTCTATTTTGGATACCTTCCTAATAAAATCACTGACATTTTGCTATGCCAAATGTTGGAAACATCGAAAATTCGCACAAAATTTAAGTGTCCCGTTCAAAGATTTCAATGTGTAAACCAGAATTCTAGACGATCATGTACCTCCGTGGAAACTTGATAAGTTTACAAGAATCACTATTGTGATAAGGAGCTCAAAACTTCATAAATCGTAAGCCTGAAGTGGAATGTTCATATGGACACTCTTAAAGTAAAACATTAATTCGTATGCTGATATCAAGGATTCTTTAAGTAAGCATGAATAAACAGATGACACCGACCTCATCAAGACAACCCATGATGTAACGGAACTGATGATCAAAATGTCAAATCAACCGTTCTGTTGCGACTAGATGTAATGCGGATATAGATTAGGCCTGCGATTATTTAATTGTTTTATAAATTCCGTTCAAAATGTTTTGTTGTTTTTTTTTGCTATATTTGCAATGAATGACAAAAACAATTAAAAAAGAGAACAAATGATTAATATGTGAAGCACTTGATTTTACCTGCAAACTATTGATCATTTTAGAGCATAGAAATGCCAATCTCTTGTAGGATTCAATCATTTAAGAACATTGGTTTTTGTGTTTGCAATTCCGGGCATAATATATTTAAATCTCTGAGACTTATGCATCGTTTCTGGTAGACATTTTCGAAACGATTAGCCAGTTTTCTTTAAGAATTAAGATTTATCTTTCACTAGCTTTTCTAAATGAGAATACATGTAATATTTTTTAAGTAGATTCGTTCGTAAAACTTTAAACAATGCATCGAAATATGTCGATGAAAAACGAATTGCAGAAAAAGCAGAATGACTCATATATTGTTTCATTCATTGACCATCTTGATTATTATTATATGCTTATTTGTTATACACACTGTGTATGCACGGGCATACTGTCTGGGTGTATTGTAAATAAACTCTTTATTCAAATATCAGCGATATAAACACTGTTTTCTTGACAGGTTGTAGTGATGTTACAGTTCGTAACTATAACAGGAAAGCCAACGAAACTTACAGCAATCCGGTGTGGAGGTGTGTTTGTGTAAACATGATTGTGCTGAAAATAAAACGTGCTACCTGGGCACGGCTCTTTAAAAAAAGTCATAGAAATGTTCATGTTCGAACTCCCCATTCATTTCATGATTTCATGAAAAAAAGGGAAATCTATGAAATCTGTGACAGAAAATATAATGAATCAGGTAATATTAACATGGTTTAATGAAACTCCTCAGTTCTAAATTGTTGTTAATTCGAAAACAACAGTGATTTTTGATGATATTTCAACTGACACAGGTGACCATGAGTGGCACATTTATAAAGAGACGAAACCTATTGCTATAAATTTTCATTTTTTGATCACGAGTTACTCGCAAAATTAAAACAATTGTTATATTCATAGGATAGCGGAAGCATTGTTAAACGTTGTCTTTCTTTTTTTGAGGAAGTGTTGTTTAGAAAGTTATAATATCGTTTGGGAAACATTTTGTCTTATTTCTTTTGCAAGTAATAGAAAGAGCATCGAGGCACAAGACAATCTGATTTGTAAGAGGGGGCGTAACATTTCAACATTTTACTTTTGCCTCATAGGCAAAAAATAGAAACACTTTCCCTGTCACAATATTAAACCCCAGAAAAAGCAAGCAATGTATGAGCATCTTGAATATGACTTTCCTGTCGTTATCTCTTTCAATCGTAATATGTTAACCCCAGATAAAATGAGCCAATCTACCAGCATTCTCTAGACAGACAGAAAGTGCGGGTAACTAATACAGTTCTGCACTCCTGTTAACACACTTTGCATGTATTGGTGGTATACGATATAGCTTTGACACGTTTTCAAAAGTAAAGTCTCCAAACTATGATACAACACGTTTTTGTATCATAGATTTGGGACCTTTCTGTTGAAAATTTAACAGAGTTAAATCATATTCACATACATGCACAGTGCCTTAACTGGAGTCTGGGAAACTAAGACATAGCATGCTCATTGTTTGGCTATTTTTTCTTGGTCGACAGAGAAAGGGATAACGATAGAAATGTCATATTCAGATGCTCGCTCATTGGTTACTTTTTTCTGGGGTCACAGGGAACGTTTTATTATTTTTGCCTATGATACAAAAGAGGGAGAACATCAAAACACTCGTTACCTAATCTGATTTATACTCCGGGGGTATGCCCCTCGAACAATAAATCAGATAGCTTCGGGTTTCGATGCTCTTTATATTACTCGCACCACCCAATAAGTCCGTCATAGTGTTTGATATCTGACTGTATAATGACATGAAGTGGTTTGAAGAGAATGCAGTGCTGTAAAAACTATCCAAAATTTTCCAAATAAAACTAATCGACCAATATGCATGACGTCGTTTTTTATTTAATGCAAAACATACAATGTCTTTCACAAATGTATATGTTATGGTGGCTGATTTGGTACACTTTTCGCGTTGCGTTGCCGATAGCGACAACATTACCTATGTTGTCTTGTCAATAGTGAAACGGCGAGTTATCACACTGTCGTCTTGTCTCTAGCCACGCCAAACGCGTTGTCGTGCTGCGCGTTGTTGCAATGTCGGCCTGTCGCTTGGCTTTATATATACAAATAAAAAATCCTTTGATTTGAGTCGAGCGACAATGTGACATCGCAACAACACGTCGCACGACAATGCACCGTTTGGAGTGCATCGTTAACGACAGGACGACAAGACGTAAGTCCGAAAGCGCGCCGTTTGGCGATTTGTCGTGCTGTCGCTAGCGACAACGTTAACGCGACGCACAAGTGTTCCAAATCAGCGACCATAATATGTACATGCATATCATAATATATATATATATATATATATATATATATATATATATATATATATATATATATATATATATATATATATATATATATATATATATATATGTATTGGTCATAGTTGAACTAGTAACATTTCAGTATTTTATGTTTGTGTTTGCGTGAATGTTTTTTAAGCTTAAATAGATAAATAAAAATGTCACTCTTTTTGTTTAAACATTATATTTGAGGGTTGATAAAAAAAACGTAGACTTTTGCTTCTGCTTACACACAGTGGTTTAAATTTAGTAAACAAAGTATTGAAATATATCGAACAATTTAATTAATAAGTATGATAGAAAAATAAAATATTTTGTAAAAATGCAAACGCCATGTGAGTCTATGACCATGGTAGCATGTGTGCGATGATAGCCCTTCCAATGATAATTGCTAATAAAGGTTTTTTTCTTTGATTTTTTTATCGTTTTTACCCTATTTATGTTAGAATGACATCACACGGAAACCCGAAATCGAAACCGAGGTCAAAACAAAACTTGAGTCGTAATAAAGATGCGTCGACATAAAGTATATTTTTGTACTATATAACCTTTCTCTTCTTCATTATACAGAACGTATTCTAACATTTTAATTTGATATCTTTAATAAATAAGCTATTTAGATATATCTAAATAATTACAAAGGTATTTTGAATAAATATTAGTTCAACTGATTTTCATATTATAAAATTTATATATATATTTAAAGTCAACGTCTCTGACAATTGTTACCATTTATTTACATATTATTTTGAAACAGTTTATAAATAAAATTCTAAAAAATGCATGTAAGTGTTACACAAAAGATCTACACCATCAAATATTCATTTCTTTATCATATTACACATTTCGGATTTTTTAAAAAAAAACAACCATAACAACTTCTCTTTGAATTTAATATGTTAGTCAATGTACCCTCCTACTCCAATCAGAAGAATTTCTTCGCTATAGCAAGATGGTCGTATGTACAAACTGTACAGATTTCCGCTGAAGACAAGCATGTCCCTGCTTGATATATACGTTGTTAGCGTAGAGCAGATATTTAGACACCCTTCAATGGGCACAAGACGTATTTCCACAGAACCCTTTTGAACAAGCAAGGTAACAATTTGAGAAAATGTTTCAATATTCCGAAACATTTTACTTTCAAAATCAGAGCACATAAATGCCCAATTTGTTCCCGTCAACTGAACATTGTTGCCCAAAATCGTTGGTCTTTCATAAAACTGTCTGAAAGCCTTATATGATATGTCAGCGCAGTTTTCCCATAATGAGTAAAATGATTTGATTTTTCCGGACGAAACCAACTGCAAGAGCTGTCTATGCTCCCTTACCTTTGATTTAATGTTAGATTTAAATTGGCATGGTTGGAACAATTCCAACTTTTCATTTAACAGAAACAACTGAGCGAACGCTCGTAAACTGTTTTCAAAGCTTTTTACCGAGTTATTAATAACTAACGGTACTTCCAAATGCATAGAATCACTTATGTCATCTTCAACATTAGTATTTATCTCTTCAAATGAATTATTCTCGCAAAGTTCGCATATGTTGTCATCAAAGTAATTCTTTTTGTACATATTCTGCACTAGGCAACGGCTTTCAGTTGCACGTTTTAACTCCGTATCTCCTAATGCGTGTATCAAAGTCTTTCTTAAACACCATTTCAAGAAACATTGCCCCTTTTCCGTTTCGTATACAATAACTAACGTCAACATTAAAACTGTAATAAAACCAAGACGTAAAATGAGAAACTTTCCCATACTTCCTTTCATTTTATGCATTTAGTTTCTCGACAAAAACTAGTTTTGTTCTGCGACTTAGCGCAATCTACAACACTGTTACCAGGAACTATTTCAATTATAGAAATAAATTGCCAGTAACTGGTGCATGGTTATTCAATTAAGATACTGGAGAAAGCTTATTAACCATTTAAATAACCTGTTAAGACTGATGAATGAGAGTTTTCTTCATAATTAAGAAGACGACGCGCAATTTACTGATGAGTGGTTATTCAAGCATTGGCGACATATCTCAAATTGTCAAGCTCATTCTCGGATTTTAAAATGAAAATAATATTGAACCTGTTTTTGAAAAATAATTTTAAAACAACATGTTCTTCATTAGAAGGTTTGGTACGACTGCAATGTGATGTCTGTGGTACTTTTAAGTTTTTCTTTTGTTTTTGTTTTAATCTTTTATCAAAATCTCATTTTCGTTTCTTTATTATCCATTGGTAATGTACAATCGTGTTTCAGGTTGCATACATTATCCTTTTTACTAACTAATGCATATGCGGACATGCTTCATAACTTCAGGTCTTTTCTTAAAATTCCATTTTATTTTAATTTATTTATTTTTGTCTTTTACGTAGTGACTATACGGAAATTAACATGAAATGGTACGGTACGTGTCACAGTGAATGTTTTTATTAACAATAATACCGCTTTGATACTCCGACAGATGCAGCTAGGTTTTACTATTTAACGATTTGAATTCCACTAAAGATTCAACTAGGACTCAAACCCTGCATCAGGGTTTACAAGGGGACCATCAAACCAAGTTGCTTTGGAATACCTTCGAGGTTTATAATTTTTCAAACTTTAATGACGAAATGGAAAGAATAATCTGCTTTTAGTTCTGCAATACATTAAAATAAATGAAAATAATTTGAGAAACCAGTACTTTAATCTTCTGGAACTAAAAAGTGCAGTTGGCACAAATATACGTACAGTCTGATCATACTTGACATATTTTTGGTTTCTTTTTGGCTTATTTTATAGCCGATATACGGTCATATTCCCAATTGAAAGTAGTAGATCTATAATAGTTTCCTAATCCGCAGGAAAAAAAAAATAATTGCAAGTTAATACAAAAAGATATTGAATAGAAAAATTAAAAGCTTTGAAAATAAGGGCTTCTTCACTATTATAGTGCTTAAATGTTTGAAGGCGCCATTCTAGACAGTAATTGTTTGCATTCATTAAATAAGTGATTAAATTCACTCAAACATCGCTGAAATTCTCAAATCCATGGGTATGAGTCTGGTTCCGAAAACATGAAAAATATCCTTCATCCTGAATCTGTAATTGAATTACAAAAATGGAAGCTGTATGAGACTAGCTTAAGGATAATTAAGTAATATATTCTCACCTTGGTGCAGTAAGGGGTTAACTCCTTATATGTTTTAATAGAAGTTAACCCGTTACTGCACTAAGGTGACGAGATGAATCATGATTGCACAGTATAGAAAGGACAGGACAGGAAAACACATGCAAACACACAAAAGTCACTTTATATAGAAATGAGATAACACGTGTTCATTAATATTATTTTATTGGTCATTGAAGCAAATTTATAAATAGTTTGATAAAAAATAAAACAAATACATCGCTTAAGAATTTTACATTTGAAATTGAATAACAAAAATCACAGATAAATTGTTTAAATTCTAGTATTGGTAACATGTAATACTTGTTACTATTTCTCTATAACTGAAAAAATCAAAACAAAAATCAACAACAAGACAACAAATTGATATTTTAATACCTTTTGGTTAAAACGTTGATCAATCAAATTTTGTGTTTATGTTATCAAGTTTTGAATGGTCTACTATTCATACGTATTCCAGTATTATTCCAGTTTTCTTTACACTGTTGGTCTAGAATAACATGTTTCTTTGATAATAAAATTCTTAAGAAATTAATGCTAATGTTCTGATATTCAGGGCATTATTGCATGTATACGTCATTTCTTTCTTTGTTTACAATAAATTATAGCACATATTGCCAACACTAGAAAATAGAATGAAAACACCTAGGGTATAGACTGACAAAAAGATACATGCATTAATATGACAAGTGTGTGAGACATGTACTATGAAATATATTTATAGATGAAAAAGGATTTGTAGAAGCAGATTTGTACACATATAAGGACCTATCTGTTAATAATATCTACATTTATCTAATGTTTATTGCGAATGAACATTATATTGATTCCTCCGTTCAAAAGGATGAAAAAGAAATCGCACGCACCTGAATAAAATTTATCATAATACACGGCATTTTCGTTTTTAGCCATGTATATATTTGAAAAAATATATAACTTAACAAAGGTCGATCAGAAATATTCAAGTGTTCTGTAATTAACGACCGAATATATCATGAGTTTGATTCATGAAATTAATGACAAATATATTAATTACTTTTCACTCTCAGTTTCAAGGAATGTAAAGATTTCATAAATCGCCTTGGTAATTTTTGCCATAGGAATATATAAATTCCCGATGCAAAATATTTGTCAGAGTCCTTATTTTTGTATTATGACATAACATTTTATTAAATTAAGTAAAATGACTGAAAATAACATGCAATTTCTATAACATGCAAAACAAACAGCATACATTACCAGCATTTAAAACAATAACTATTAATGACTTTATCTATCATTATAGAGTATAAAAACAGTTTCAATACATCACTTCACATGGCCATCATATTAATGTAAAATAACTTACATTAAGAAAACCATGCAAACAAACAATACTCTCAGAGGAGAAGTTAAATAAAATTTTGATTATGCCAATCAAAGACAAATTAGATTTGAGTTTATCTCTATAATCACAATGATTTGTATGTCTAATTACACATAAATAAACCAAAACAAGGAAATAATCTCTTCTGAAATTATTATGATTTGCATACAAAAACAGAAGAAAAAGTAAACAATACTTATAAGAATACATGACGTGTTCTCGTTTGTTACTGCAATTAAACAAAAATTTAACGAGTCATTTCACGACAGGTGATAAAACTCTCGATAATTGACACAACAAATACAAAACAATTCTAGTAGCCAACAAATATAACTTCTATTCCCCGTTCATTGAAAACAGTTAAGGGAGATAACTCGGACTTTTACTGACCATACTTGCGTATCAAAAGTAATGGTTTTCTTCATGGTAAACACCATTTACAAAACGGACATTACACAACCTTTTGTATATCAAATTTATATACTAGTATAATGTAAGCGCACATACATTTTATCTTGAGATTTTGTGAATTGTACATCATTTGTTCAAATATCTGATCAGATTAATTTTAACAGCATATACTGATGATATGAATAAACAATTGGACCCATTTTACAAATGCAATTGCTTAAAGCGGCCTTTAGCTTCAAAACAGCGCCCGAGAGATATTTATAGCGCACCAATGACGTTCGTTTCTAAAAAAAGAAGATTGGGAAAAGAATCATCCGCTTTACTAATTTACATATAGAGAGCGGAACGGTAGATTATAGGTATCCAGGTTTTTTTTATTGTTTATGTATATAATCGACGACAAATATCATTTCATAACTAAATTCTTTTGATTTGACAATAATTATTATGAAACGATTTATCTAAAAATAACATATTTCACCTTACGAAAAGCTGAAGACCGCTTTAAAATGTAAATAGCTTTAAAATAATTTTAACATTTTAAGAACATTATTAGGGTTGAAAGCGATATCATGACACAAATCCACCATTAATATTGTGAAAGAATCTTAAATCTATATCAACGACAGAACAAACAAAAACTCTCGAATGACGTAATTGTGGAATGTGTTAACATATATACTTTATTATGGAATTCACTTTTTTGTGTTTCCAGGTAATCAATTTACAAATTCAATGTAACGAGACGATCTTGATCTGTATTTGATAAACTGAATTAAATGTAACGTCAAGAATTAAATGTAACGTACGTGTCACACTCAATGTAATATCTCCGACTCATCAATGAAAATAGAGGAAATACATGTAAAGGATAAACCCAATGTAATGCCACTAATTTAATGTAACGTATCAAATGTCACGAGCTGTATCAAACGCATGCAATGCAAACAACTCAATGTTAAAAAAGGAAATTAATTACTGACATATACTGAGAGATAAACTCAATGTAACATGTAACGGCCTAAAGTAAAATGACTTACAACAGACTAAATACTTGATATTAGTTACCTTCATGACATATAAATGACTTAAACGTCAAAATCTTTTTCCAACATGAAGACGTAACTTTACCAATATTTTTCTGTCCCTATATATTACTATCAAAACAATGAATGAATCACTCCAATTACTAAATTGACTTTGATTTTTACATTCATAACTTAATGCACGCAAATGTCATATTTTAATCTCTTAACATTTGTACCAATGCACTGACAATAAACATGATTATTATATATACATACATATTCTAAAGGAGCATACCTTTAATTTCATGATAAACATAAATAAAAAATAATAATAATTAAACACAAATAGTATTCAATATATACATAAAATATTGTTATTAGATTCTAGATTGAAGACAATAACTGCTTCTTTGTAACAGTCTGTGGTCTTTACATCAATTCCACGTTTGTGAAAAAATGTGTTTATTTATTCGAACTCCGATCAATAACACAACAAATACTAAATTAAACATATGCTCCTTTAAACAAACACACTTTTAACTTTATCAATAACATATAATTCAACATATATTACTTTATTATCGTAAACAATTATATAAAACTGACAAAATTTATTTGTTTACTTTTTTGACAATCACAAGTATAACAGTATATAAAATTTTAACTACATAAATTCATAGAATTAAAATGCAACAACTTCAATTAAACAAGAAATGAGTAACAATGCTATAGAAATACCAACCAAAGGTACAATACCTGCCAAAGGGATATTTGTAAGTGAGGTAAATAAAAAAACATCTATAAAGAAAACACATACTTCAAACAATTTTTACGGTTGCAATATTAAAGAAGTTATTACTGGATACCATTTAAAATGGTTCTTACAGTCCCCAATTGGTAAAGAGCCAAAGCTGTTTAAATTGACACCTATCAGGAATCAAAGTTATTCAAATATGTTCACTTTGGCGTTATAAATGGTAATACGAGACTCCTAATTATAGCTTCAAGGACAATGACACTTTGGAGACTCCTATTTATAGCTTTACCGGAAATGACACATTGAATACTCCTATTTATAGCTTCACCGGCAATGACACATTGGAGTCTCCTATTTATAGCTTTACCGGAAATGACACATTGGGGTCTTTTGCAATACAAGTCTGACAGAATGGTTCATGTTTGAGCAAAAGCATTGAACTGAAACGATGTATGTACTACATGGTGAATATTATTTTAAAAATGCTGTGATAAGTTTTCTGGCAGTACAAAACATCTTTAAGTTTGTAACTTATGTTTTGGAAATAATAAACACCAATTAAAATTACTATAAATGAAACACTTTAACACCAATCTTCATCATCATCATCCGAATCATTAGTCAAAGGAACATTGCTATCACTTCTTAGTTCCATTTTATCTTGTTTTCTATTTCCATTTCTACTTTTAAATCCATTCGGAACACTTGCAGGCTGTCTTACAGTCCGAGATGGTTCGTTTCCTTGATTATTATGATTTGGATTTGAATGCATCCGGTCACGTGATCTATCAATACGGCCTCTCACAGGACTGGCTCCATGATTAGATTCTTCGACATGTCTACTAGGAGCATGCCTAGGTTCATCAAAATGTCTACTAGGTGGATGTCTAGTTCTTTCATTTTCACGCATTCTATTAAAGTCAGGTGAATGACGTGAAACACGATGTCCATTATCGTTCGGTGGCACATTTGGTCGCCTACTGTAATGACCCGGGAGTGATCTAGTTTGACCAGGTCTATCTCTCGGGTCACTTATCTTATTCAAATTGTTTCTTTCAGTTGGACTGTAAGGTTCGGGACGTCCAAGCTTTCCTGGCGGGGGAATATTATGCGGAACAGGGGCTATATTTAACTTAGGTTTGCGTGTTGGAGAAGTATTCAATCTTGGAAAGTTAATACTTCCAGGGCTTTTGGAAGGCTGACGGATAGTGGGGGAAGGCATTACACGCGGCATGTTCTCTTTGAGCTTAGGTTGAGCAAGATTCAGCGTTGAAGGCTTGGTGGGCTGTACTGGAGCCGTAGGTAACTTCCGTGTCGAACGTTTGGGTGGCGTATTCACAGGACTACTCACAGGTGTTGGACTCCGTGAACGATCAGTAAGGTTAGAGCCTCCGTAATACTCATTCATAGGTGTAGACGATGGGGTGGGATTAGGTGACGGCGATCTAGATCTCGTTTCTAAAGATGTAGAACGATACATTTCCGATCTAATGCGTGGCTGTGGACTAGGTAGGGGAGAACCCATAACATGTGGTTGAGGCATCAAAGGTGGCCGTTGCTGTTTGAGTCGTGGTCTGCTACGTAACTGTGGTGAATTCGGTATGCTTATACTATCTTCATGTCTTGCCGGAACTGAAAAAGATAAAATCAAAATTGAAAGATTGCTTTACGATACTGTGAGTTATGTTGTCTAGATATCTAAAGATAACCGTCAATAAAACAGTGGACACAATTACTGTCATAACTTTATACAGTTCAAAAGTGGGAACGATATCTAAAAATCAACTTATTTATTAGCTGTTATAACCACTTGGGAGGAAAATAGGTTTTGCCACTTTGAACTGTTTTAATAAATGCAATAATGTAACTTTGAAAACCATTCGTTTTCTACCTGCATTCATATCTAATGAAACTATGCATAAACAACGTCCAGGCTATCATATCTATTAGCATCATAGTATATCTATGATGGTACTTTGAACAGGACACACATGATAGCAAAATAGGTATGTTTTAAATTTCTTTATATTACCAACAAACTCTGCCTTCGGTAACGTTTTTACCTTTGAACCACATTCGAATGTCAAATACGAAGCAGGCATTATTTTAAATTTCAAATTTATTTTATCAAAAGATGCGTTTTATTCTATAAATCAAACAAGAATTTTGTAAATGAATCATAAATTTCAAAATTATCTATCCTCTTTAAAAGGAAATAGGAAAATTACGTGTTATAAAGTAAATGATTAAAATTACTTTTTACACCTATCCAAATAACTCAAAGATTTAATGGCCTTTTAGATCTTTTTATTTCTTAATATAAAAAACCTTATAAGCTTTGTCTCTATATTTTCTAAACTCTTGTTCAATTTACTATAAATAAAGTTATTCAAATAACTTAAAGATTTCACGACCTTTATTTCTCAATACAAAAACCCATTAAAAGTTGCGTTTATATTGCCTACGCTCTTGTTCGACTTAACTTATGAAGTAATCTAATAACTCAAAGATTTCAAAATCATTACTTCTTACTACAAAAACCCATTAAAACTTTACCTTTATATCATCTATGCTCTTTTTCAACTTACTTCTGAAATTTATCCCAATAACTAATTTATTTCATGATCTTTATGATTTTTTTTATTATTTGCCATTACAATAACGTATTGAATACTTTACCTTTATGTTTTCTACGCTCTTGCTCAACTATCTCATGTGCTTGTTCACATATGTTTGCAACAGCAGAGGCAAATCCGACATCAATCTGATTTCTTCTTGGGGATGTTGACCTTCTAAACGGACCGGGTGAGGTTGCTGGGGATTCAAAGGGGCTTCTGTGGTTCAGTAGTGGAGATCTTGGGGAGACGGGAGTAGTAGGCAATGAGGGAGTCTGTTGTCCAATATGACTATTCTCAGAGTTTGGTCTTGGTATACCGTGGCCAGCATGTTCTGGTCGGAGACCATGTGAAAAATCGTGGTGCTTATCCAATGACTGAAAAATATACACATTTTTGTATGTTAAAGAACAGATGCTAATATCAATATGTATGTATAACATATAGAACTATCACATCACATTTCACAGCACCTCAAAGAATTGTTCATTCAAATCACAATAACAAAATTCTACTACATAATTTGCATGAGAATGGGATAATTGTTAACTTTAATAAGTACATGAATACTGTTAAAATGCTAATTCAACAATTTTACATGATTCTACTACTTAAATTTCCACTTGAAATAGAAATGAATTATTTGATAAAACACATTATAGCTCTTTATTATATATAAGAATGTATTCCAAGATAATTACAGCAAACACGATTCAACCATATTTTAATAAAACAAATGAAAAATGCCGTTTTGTACTTTTCTTCTCAAGCCAAATTAAAAAATAAATCACCAATCACCGTAACATAGTAAAATAAGAAGAATTTACCAATTACCGATAAATAAAAAAATATACACTCGAAGATTTTGTCGAACTTAAAGATTGGTAATTTGATAGAAATTTCTGAATAAAATAGATATGATCAATAATGATAAGATATAAAGATATGAAAGTAATCACGCAATATTACTTATACAAATACAATATAAGATATTCCAGACCACTTTAAAATTGTGATTGCATTCACCATGAATTCATCATTTCTGCATAAACATCCATATTTCATTTCTGCTACAGAAACTTGTAACTAACAAAACATCTACTAAAATAATTAAACAAGGAAAGCTTTCAAAAGAAGCAATGTCTACCAGATACACTTTTGTAGAAGAACAGTACAATTGAGTTATTGTTAATGAGTGACTTTGAGAGGAGAATATGCCGACACCTTTAGAGAACCGTATCCATGAGGTTTATTCTAATCGTTTTTGCAAAAACACTACATGAAATTTAGATAAACGCTTAATTAGAATTATGAAAAAGTTTTGTATTTTTATTTTTAAATGACATTATGCCCATCCAAGGGGACTGGTGAACGTAAAAATATCGTTTACATTTTTCTATATTTCCTTTCAATTTTTTAATTTACTGCGCATGAACGATAAATAAATCACATGGTCCACGGAGGTTTCTGTAAAAATCTAACGAAATGGACATGTTTTATTAAATTTATAAACAAGAGGGCCATGATGGCCCTGAGGTCGCTCACCTGTATATAGCCCCCCCCCCGGGCCAATTTTTACCCAAGGGCTTTTATTTGAACAGACTTGGTAGACACCCATAAGAAGATGTTTCATGCTAAACATCTAAGTTCTAGCTCATTGGGTTTTTTAAAGGAGATTACTATACACATATAGTAAAAACAATGACACCCCTGGGGCAGGGCAAGTTTTGACCCCCGGGCTTTTATTTGAACAAACTTTGTAGATATTTACTTAAAAATGTTTCATGTATAATATCTAAACTCAAGCTATTTGGGTTTTTTCAAAGAAGATTTTTAAGTTTTTGCTATACACATATAAGGAAAATCAATGACCCCCGGGGCGGGCCAGTTTTGACCCCAGGGCTTTTATTTGAACATACTTGGTAGACACCCATTAGAACATGTTTCATGCTAAATATCTTAGCTCTACCTCTTTGAGTTCTTTAAAAGAAGATTTTTTAAGTTTTTACTATATGCATATAGGGAAAATCAATGACCCCCTTGGGCGGGGCCAATTTTGACCCCAGGGCTTTTATTTGAACAAACTTGGAAGACACTCATTAGTAGATGTTTCATGCTAAATATCTTAGCTCTAGCTCTTTGGGTTCTTTAAAAGAAGATTTTTTAAGTTTTTACTACATGCATATAGGGAAAATCTATGACCCCCTGGGACAGGGCCAATTTTGACCCCAGGGCTTTTATTTGAACAAACTTGGTAGACATTCACTAGAAGATGTTCCATGTCAAATATCTAAGCTCTAGCTCTTACGGTTCTTTAAAAGAAGATTTTTTAAGTTTTTACTATATGCATATAGGGAAAATCAATGACCCCCCGGGGCGGGGCCAATTTTGACCCCAGGGCTTTTATTTGAACAAACTTGGTAGACACTCACTAGAAGATATTTCATGTCAAATATCTTAGCTCTAGCTCTTTGGGTTCTTTAAAAGAAGATTTTTTAAGTTTTTACTATATGCATATAGGGAAAATCTATGACCCCCTGGGGCAGGGCCAATTTTGACCTCAGGGCTTTTATTTGAACAAACTTGGTAGACACTCATTAGAAGATGTTTCATGCTAAATATCTAAGCTCTAGCTCTTTGGGTTCTTTAAAAGAAGATTTTTTAAGTTTTTACTATATGCATATAGGGAAAATCAATGACCCCCTGGGGCGGGGCCAATTTTGACCCAAGGGCTTTTATATGAACAAACTTGGTAGACATTCACTAGAAGATGTTTCATGCCAAATATCTAAGCTCTAGCTTTTACAGTTCTTTAAAAGAAGTTTTTTAAGTTTTTACTATATGCATGTAGGGAAAATCAATGACCCCCTGGGGCGGGGCCAATTTTGACCCCAGGGCTTTTATTTGAACAAACTTGGTAGACACTCACTAGAAGATGTTTCATGCCAAATATCTTAGCAGTAGCTCTTTGGGTTCTTTAAAAGAAGATTTTTTAAGTTTTTACTATATGCATATAGGGAAAATCAATGACCCCCTGGGGCCGGGCCAATTTTGACCCTAGGGCTTTTATTTGAACAAACTTGGTAGACACTCATTAGAAGATGTTTCATGCCAAATATCTAAGCTCTAGCTCTTACGGTTCTTTAAAAGAAGATATTCAAAGATTTTTCTTTCGGTTGCCATGGCAACCAGAGTTCTGCATGAAATGGAATTCTTTGAACAATCTTGATAGAGCTTCATACAAAGAGTATTCCTGCCAAGTTTCATTAACATTGGCCTTGCGGTATCATAGAAGATGTCCTTAGAATATTTAAAATGTGGACGGACGACTGACGACGGACGCCATTTGGTTGGCCATCCTAAAAGCTCACCTGCACTTTGTGCAAGGTGAGCTAAAAAAGTGAGGCAGTCGTTTTACATTTTGGGCTGATTTACATTTGTCCTATATTTCTTATATCAACTGTTACTTAGCTTATCTTCATGTTAACAAACTTTTAAAATATATAGTCAATTCAGCTCAACTTGAAAATGAAAAGCAAATGAGCATAATGTCCCTTTAAGTAAGATATTGGAATTATAAAGTTAATATTTATGATATAAGTTTCAATAACATAGAATTCCCGCTAGGAAATGTTTTAATTGGAGACAAACATGTAGGTAATAAAGATCTTCACGTTTACCTAAAATCTATAATACAAAACAGATTTTTTGCTTGCCAAATGATTGCGTTCATTTTACTAAAACTTTCCTAATATTTCATATAGTGTTTTGCGTAAATGACGGGCTTTCAAATTATAAATCTACTCCCGTAAAACCCACATATTTCACCTTATAATGGTCTGATACAATGTAAATACCAGATGACCTATCATCTGGTGTACTTTCAGCATCGTCGGTCGAGTACGAGTCATTAATATACCCGTGGAGTCCTCCATAACGTATGTATCGAGTCTAACAAAGTTTACATATACATATAATGAATTTGGAAAGCTAGTCGGCAATAAGTTCATAAAGATTGTCTTTTTATTGAAAGGTTATATACGAATTCTCAGTCGTATCCAGTCGTGTATTTTTCATGTGTGATGGTACCTGGCTAAGTAGAACCACTGGTTTCCTGTGTGCTATATTGAGAACCTTTTTTGAAATACAGCAACAGTGAATGTCTCATGTGTGAACAATACCTGACATTGCGAGAACCATTTGTACCTAATAGCCCGCATAAATAAATACAAACATGCATAGACATAACCTTTGATATTAAACTTTTTGACCTTTTCATTGTCTTACTGGCAGTGATTCTGAATTATGTTGTTATATTTAGAAACAAAATAGTTACTATTAATCCGTGCCACCATAAATGTGAATAATAAGCACGATGCATATTTGCTTTGGTCTAAAATCAATAACACTTTCCATGATCAATTTTCAGACTAAGGTTATTACGATGTGGTGTGAATACATACCTGTAAACTTCCTAACTCATGTCCGCTCCCACCTCTATTTCGACGTTTGCTGCTATTCCGCCGAAGGAAACTTAAAATGAATGATAAATAAAAACAGTTTAATTTATATCAAATGAGCATAATTGTTGATTTTAGATATTCATAATGATTATTGTTTCACTTTTCGAGTTTTTAAGATATACAATTAACCATTTAAATACATTTTATTCAATTTGCAACGTTCAAATTGTGTCATATAGGTATCTAATAACGTTTCAGTTTGTCACAGTATGGTCAAACATCACTAAGGTCAAACATCACAAAATATCAATTCAGTAATAAACTCGAAGCCAGACTGTTTACTATTTTTACTGTTACTCGAAACTATTTGTTTGTGGAAATCATTTGTTAGTCATAACTAGGCTTACGTAATAACTATGTGTTCGTAATATCTATGTGTTCGTAATAACTATGTGTTCGTAATAACTATAGGTTGGCGATAACTATGGCGTATCGCACACATGCTCATCGGTGTTCATAACCTAATTTGACTTTGACGAAGTAAATGAAATACAAACGCACCTATGAGTGTCTTCATCCCCTGAATGATCAGAGTCAATGCTTTGGCTCGAGCGACCCGACGGTGTGCGCATGACACCCATGAGACGTTGGAACAAAGATGGCGGTCGCTGAAGAAAAAAGTGAATCATATACAATCATTGTCCTTAGTGGTAATCGTTTGCTCAAATACTGAAATGTCAAAATGTCAGAACACAAAGTTTCTTCATGGCATGATTTTAACTAAAATTTGGTCCATTTGAGTTTTGATAAAATATCTAACGAATGTCATTTCAAACGTTGCCAAAGGGCTTAATTTTAATGTTGCTAGAACTTGTTGCCCAAACCCTTTTTTTGCTTTTTGTTATATACTTATCATTTGTATACTATTTTACATGTATTTGATGCAACAAAAATGTTTAAACTAAATAATTATCACATTTTCTTGGAATTGACATTATTTATTTCTCATTTAAAGCTACAGAAGTGAAACTATAATATATAAATATCTTTGATCGGTGAATTTTTATCTACATATGTATTACGGTAACTTAAAACTTATCAATAAAAATGCCTGCATGTGATAGAAAAATGCCATAAATCTAAACAGATCACTAAAATACTTCCTAGGCTTCATGCAAACTTAACGATTTTAGTAAGTAAACCCTACAACAGAAATGTCATTTTTTGAGTGCGATATATTCATGTTTTTAATAAATTAATAATTAATGCTTTCAATGTTGGGCACCAAAAGGGAAAACAAAATGCAAAATGGTACAACCCTGATTGTATGAAATTAAAAATTTAAAAGCAGAATTATTAATTATATGGTTTTTAAACAGAGGCTTCGTTGCTTGTACAAATTTAATTATTTTGCATTTTTTTCGTGTAACCATACCACCATTAGACTGAAAATAATTAAATTAATACTGCTGATATATCGCAAAATAGCATTAGATTAATTTAATGTCCCTTTAGTATTCCAAAAAGGACCAATAAATTAAGCATTTGTAGGTTCAATGGAACAGTGAACAAATTATATAGATATTCATAAAAACACTATGATCAATAAAGATAATTTATAACCTTTTTCAAAGTAAGTAATTATCAATGTTATAAAAACTAATATGTATGAACATAATACTAATGTTTAATTTAGTGAGTGAATGGCTAAAGGACGATTGTGACACCTCTACAAAAGACTCAAGACAAAGTGTTAGAACAAGGTTCCATTTTGATATACCAAAAACAATTTGCAATTGCATGTACCAAAAGAAAACCAACACAGAAATTTGAAGATGTTAGCATCTGAAACGATCTTAATGATGTATCTCTTATAATAGGTAGACAATAGTTTTTTGGCAATTACTAAGATTTTCAATTTTGCCGTTGTGGGCGTTCTTTAAGAAATGCTAATTTTTGTGCACAAAACAAATGTCAATAAAAGTTTTTATTCTGGTTCTTAATACAACTATTTTAAAGGTATAACACTATAATGGTGTTGTACGCTTTCAGTTGATAGTTTAAATTCTTAAAAACCCTTTATTATACGCCTAAAATGCATAAAAAGTAAATATTCCGTACATGCTAAGTATATCAAATTGTTTATGGCATATTGTTTTTTTTTTCATATAAAATATAAAGACTTCCAGCATGCTGTTTCATGCAGTTTCCTAACCTGGTCAAATTCAGCAAGCAACGGAATATTATAGTCGATCTGTAAACAACATAAAGGAAAGATAGAGGTTTAGACATCATGAAAAAGATAGAAACATTTTTCCTTTTACACGCCGTCTGATATAATTTTGCTGGTATATATATAACATATATGAATAAAGCATCACTATAAACATGGCAAATAAATATTGAAATTTATCATCGCTGTTTTTTGTTTTAGAAAAAAAGCAATTTTACTTTTTGGTTTTGCCCAATCCCCAAAAATACTCTACTATAAATTAATTATAATTATCATAACATTTGGATATATGTAAGACTCGTTTTTCAAGTGGCAACACACAGATGTTTTTAATGATCATCAAGTGATAAGTAAATTATTATTCATAATTTTATGAAATAGTTGCCAATTGAAATAGAAATGTATTTTCTTCTTTATTAGAGGACGACTATTTTTATGTTGCATGACTGATTCATGCATAAAATGACCAAACTTTTTTTTCAAACGTTACATGTAAGTTTAGTTTAACACCAGTCACATTCTCTTCAGTTCGATTTTTATTTGATTGACTCTTGTATTCTCCGTTTCCTGGAGGTACCCATATACTGGTAATATTTGCAGAAATGTTTAATGCGAGTTTTAAATTGTTTTAGTATATAAACAAGATAATGCAGATGTTTGTCAGATTCTCTTTACTTTGTTTACCTAATACCTTTTCATTATTGTTGAACAAAAACATGTTTCAGCATGCCATTTACAAACATACATTTTGTTTGACATTAGAATAAAATCGAGTTTCGTACTGCTTCATAACATTTGGACTAAAACATTCTAAACAAAATATTATAGCTATTTTTACATGATATATACACATGTATACTAGGCACATAGAAGCCATGTTTACAGTTTACAACAATCTATAAACTAAGTCAAAACCCGTCACCAAATTTTGTAAAACCTTCTTGATAATACTTTTAATGGTTGAAATACTCTTAATGGTTGAAAATAGTATGCCATATTGATATATTTCAATTAGTATATACCATAGGCAGCGTACATTTAATAAATGGTAATAACAAAATACTAATAATTGAATGTGAAGTAAGTAATGTATTAAAAAAAACATACTGTTAACTATAAAATAATGTGTTTAATCATAGTAATAAACAACTTCTATTAACAAACACAGTTTTTTTATTGCAACTAGTTCATATTAAATTTAATAAATATCCCTAAAATTCTAAAAATACCAAAAACCCCATAGAGATATCACACTACATAATAAAATAAAAATAGTTAATCGGTGTTTATCAGTATAAAAATCATAAGTGTATCATATATTATATTTTCCCCAGTGACAATTGTGATAATGATAAAAAAAATAAACAATATTCCAATAAGAACGTTTTTCTCGAAGACACTGAAAAACAAACCGCATGCGCTTCCTAACGAGTTAAAATAAAAACAATGATTTGATTATTAGTAAGAAAACAGCAAAATTGTGATGTTATTTCAGAAAAAAAGAAAATATAAAAAAGTGTAATCTACAGTTTGTAATACCTCGTCGTTGTCGGGCGGCTACAAAAAAGTAGAACGGATTACTTTCATACATTTTATAGAATTTCATATCCTCCGTACATGTGTCATTGCATAGGGATTTACATATCAAAGAATAATTTGCAACAGTAGCCTTTTTTCTTTTGCGATTTTTTTTAAATAGGAAGGTGTTGCATCAAACCTATGATATTTGCGAAATTGTTTGTCAGAAGAAAAAAGTTAATGCAATGCGATGAATATGATTTGATACATAGAACTTTTGACAAATTAAGTAAACATATTGGTCATAGGATATTCTTATTGAAATGTAAGATATACATTTTAACCCTGACATTTTCCTTTAAAATGATATATTGTTTGTCCAAATTGAATGATTGACAAGTACATTCAATATATTCAGTGTAGAAAAGATTCAAACATTTCTATTATTTGACAAGATAAAATTTTACCTATAATAATAAAAATATTGAATCATTCTGCCTTATAAATGGTACTTTTTCTAATGCTTATAAAATCAAATCATTATGTAACAATATGCAATATTTTGTTTTAATTCTTTGCGTTAACTATTGGTCACTAATTAATTATGTTGTATATGTCAAATTGCATCAAATGTCATAAAAACTATAAACATACATTCTACATTAAACACATTTGAAAGAACATCTTTCAATTATTTTAATTGTCTTATCATGCCAATAATGTATTCCTTTCAATACAATTATGGACTATGTAGAGCATAAGCAAACAATACTGTTGAATTGAAAAGTAAGACTCGAATCAGTCCCATAAAATTTCATTACATAAAACATTTTAAAGACATAATAACATCTTGATTAATTTCATTACATATACCATTTTGGAAATATAACTATCTTTATTAATTTACACACTAGCAATGATGTTTTTTTAAAAGCAACCCACAAAACATGCTTCTTGCTACCCAACACGAATGACAGTTTATAATCTACAGTCTTATCACAGTCATCAAAAACTGCAACTTTGTAGGTAATATTACATTTGCATTTGCTTCCCAGTTTAGACATTTTGCTAATCTTTAGAAACACATTTATGGATTGTTAGCTTCAATTGTTAAAATTCATATTTGTAGGACATTAATGTTTGATTTGAATCACTCCCAAAGTATCAGAGTCTGCTTACCAACACCGTATACTTTACGAATTTAGATAAGACTTGTATTTTCATTAGTTGCTAGGTAACAAGAAACATGTGTTATATATTGCCTGGTAAAGAAAGTTGAAAATAATATTGTATATAATAAAATGAATTTAACAGATTTTATAATCGTCATGCATCAGATAATAATAGTTCAGAAGTAAATAATTTCTTAAATTAAAAATAAGTATATGCAAAGAACGTAATTTTCGAAAGAAATCATGCAAAACAAATAAAATCTAATAACGCTCTCTATATAAATTTAAATATTTCCATTTGCGAAAATGGTCCATATCCTACATAACTATAATACATTGTTGTGCTGCATTTCTATAACAAGAATTCGTCAATCTTTCTTTTTGGGGTATCAACTAGGCTTTAGTTCTTTAAAATGCAAAGAACGCCATGTCATATAAGCATTGCAATGGATACTTGTTTGAGTTTGATGAATAAACTCACCTTTCTGCAAACCTTACATTACATGAATAATACTTCTTAATAAGCGACCGTTCCAATCTTTCTAAATACATTATCCTATTAAACAGCATATACAAGCATTTTACGTGGACTTTTCTTTAACTTAACAGGGTCGTGGGTACTTAACTTTGCCATTTTTAATTAAATTATGAACTGTCCATTTAAGCGAAATCTTTCTTTGTCTTGCATTGCTTCATGTATCATATCGGTAATAAAATCAGCAGAAAAGTGGTTTAAGTAAAAACATGTTACATATCATAGGCATCATTGGCTGTCATCGATATTCTGTAAAAGTTTTGACACAACCATTTTCTTGGGGGGAAATCGATGACCACTCAAGGCTGTAATATACTTACGTAATTTTAGTTGTATAAATGTAACCTGTGTTTTTGGATTAGCAGTTAGTAAGCTTTGTTAGGTGGGCTCTCTATTGTCAGTACTGATTATATGAGCGTGGTGCAAGCTTGTTGCTAATATAAATCTATGTAACATGCCTGAGGCATGCATCAAAATTGCTTAGTAAGGCAAGCAATATATATTTCAAAACTTTTCTGTATTTACCTCTCGTCTTAGGGTGGGTGTTGACAATTCATTGATGACGTCATTATAGCCACGGCCATTTTTTAGTATAAAGACTGAGTAAAGACAGTTGTTTTAAAGTAGTCAATATATCAATTAGTTTTTTCTATAGTTATGGAAATATAGTGTTACTTTGGTAAAGAAATTGTTGAGATATAAGGAAGCTAAGAACTTGCTAATGATGTATGCAACTGAATACATGAAACTGAGTAATTAAGCCACGCTAACGAAAATACAATTTCAAAGCAGCGAATAAATATCTATTGACATATCTGTTATTGACCATTGATACTTCCAATGTTACAAAGTTTCATGACTATATATGTAATTTGCTGGACAGTAAAATCATACCTTAAACTTAGAAAAAGTATCTTTCAAAGTCCCTTGAATAGTTTATGCAAGTTCATTTATCCATAAGTCATTTTGAATTGTCCTTTTCCAGTTTTTGTTTGGTAAGAACTCTTAGTGTTAGTATACAACTTTAAATCCATTGAATGCCCTTTTCAATATTATTCTTGTTTATTCATCGGCTGTTAAAAACTAACAAAGTTGTGTACGAATATATCCCGCTATACAAAATGTCAATTGTTTATGTCAACTTCCATTTATTTTCAGCTCTGCTCCATATTAAAATATTATGTTATCACACGTGGACCCCTTCATAAGTTCATGAATGACAGTATATAACGGTTTCATATTCAGTAATGACAGTTTTCAATGGTTTCACATTCAGTACTAAACCCTTTTTAATTAATTCATAGATGGGTGATTAGTGTGTGTTATATTCAAATCACGTAAAACACAAATTCAGAAGACATTTTTATCATCCTTTAATTTATATAGTGTGTGCAGATTAACTAAATTATTAGAATGTGAATTTGCTACTAAAACATAACAATTTATCACCGGTTAAATTAAAATAATCTTCGCATATTTTCATATTTTCAACGCAAACGGAAAGACACTTGGTTATATCTTTTAAACTATAACACTATAAGCACAACTATATATATGAATAAAACAAATAACATGGGAATAAAGCGTGAACCTCACCCTTTGTTGTAAACAACAGTCTACAACAAACCAATAAATGGTTTTATTGCAAAACGCAAAACTATGTAAAACCAATTAAAACCTAAATGATATACCAGTCCCATTTAAATCAAGTATTGATGCTCTAAAATATGGTTCTATGAAATTTATAAAATAACTTAAAAGTAACTGAAGAATATTGTTTATATACATAACTGAATGAATGACAAAAGTGCTTTATCCAACATAAATAAGCCAATTAAAAGTGATAGTGGTAATTTCAATGAAAATGAATAAAAAAGTATACTAAAATAATAACTACAATAACAAAAGAGACAGTGTAAGTGCTAAGAAAACGATACAGCAGAAGAATGGCCGAGGTTTATTGACCGTGTGACGTCATTTACCTCTTCCAAGACTTCCTGAAAAATGTTGAAGAAATATATTTATAACTTTTTTTAATTTATTAGGAAATTATATTAAAAACAGGTTTACAAACCAGTATAGTGAGCAAAATAGCGATTGTAACCTCAATATTCTTTTTCTATTTTATTTTATTTACATCGCCTTTATTAACAATTTGCTTGAGTTGTGTAAAAACACACAGCGATTTTAAATTTTAATGGTATTAAATGAATATACAAGTAAATATTCTCATTTAGAAACAAAATAATTTGCATTTGTAGACATGATATAAAACAACTGCACTATCTAAATTCTTCAATATAATAATGCACTATTTGGAAGTTGGTCACAAAATACAAACAGACGGACAAACAAAAAAGCTTTAGACTACATCTTTTCCTGTTCTTGGTTTTTTATGGTTAGGGAAAACACACATTTTGACACAAGATATCACCACAGATCTGGATTACAGTTTACATTAACAAACAAGGTGTTTTACAAAGGGATCATAAACGCACACTGCAAACTAATGTCTCACACGATGATTTAAAATATATCAAACGAAGAATCGGATTATTTATTCAAAATATTTAAGTCAAAACTGAAATTTGAAAGAAACATATAGGCTTTTGAGATATTTTTTAATTAAACGACTTATTTGTTGCTTTTCTTAAATGAGTACAAAAGATATACACACCTTTCTTGTTGTTTGTCCATTCAGCTGACTAGCTTTGTATGCTTTCCAGTTTTCAGCAATAAGGAGACCGACATAAATCTTTCCTACAGTCATTTTACCCTCGTTTAATTCTAAAAATAAATGTTTCAATACAGTGTTACCATTCATTATAAATTTACATATGCAGTGAATTATACTATTTTTTCATCGTGCCTTCAATCAATTCTAATACATCTTTCATGTGTCCATAATCAAATTCAAAATACATTTTACATGTGACCTCAATCAATTCAAGTGCACTGGGTTTCATAAAGAGCAAGTACAATGCATTATATAACTGACTAAATTAATTCATTTTGTGACTAAGTAATCAACAATACGAATACATCTATTTGTTAAATGAGCTGTATTTTAAGCATCATCAAATAATTTCATTTTGAAAAATTGTAATATAAATCACACCAAATTCAGACTTATAGTCAATAACATACTTTCGGTAAACATAACGTTAAATTAAGATAAACTAGAAATTTTGAGTTTCATCTTTTGTAAGTTCCTGTTTGCATACAAACATTGCTATTCGAATATAAAATTTGGTATTTGTACTCCTCTAAACGTTGCAATGTCTATGAAACGCAAAAAGTAACCCTCTTTTATTTTGGTCAATTTACCTTCCTTCGGCGGAACTAGTAAATCTATAAGCTTTTTAGCTTGAACTGGCCATAGACGCTGTATAACATCTCGCATTTCTTCATCCTTCTTGTCCATCTCTTCAGCTGAAATGAGAAAAATATGTTTCCTTATATTTAACAAAAAGAGCAAGATAAGCTAGCACGATGTTTACTTAGTTGTGACATAAATCATATGAAAAACAAAATCTTTCTCTATCTAAAGGTTTTCTAATCCGAGGGCAAAAAAAATATTCATATTTCTTTAGTGATCTACGAAATAATAGCTAATATTTTAATATTAAAAAAAATAAAATTGGATTTAGATAAAACGTAAAAAATAAAGAATAATTTCTTCAAAAATTATACAAAGAACTTACTAATGGACGTTTTTATTCCCAATGACTCCCGAATAAGAGCGAACAATGTTGTTGTAAAATGCACAGTTCCGTCCATTGCAACCGACATATTCATTCTAATAAGTTTACGGTATGCAAGTCTATATGGGCACTTCTTGCCAAATCCGACAGGAGGTTCCATGTTCCGTAACATGTCGTACATATCCGTATACTGTATACGTCCACTGAAAATAAGAATAACAGTATCAATTATTTTCCATTTGTTTGTTTGTTTTGTTCGGTTTTACGGCGCACCGACACAATCTAGGTCATATGGCGCCGAAACAGGAAAGGAGATTTTGGCTAACCTAGGGTGTTTCAAACCTAGTGCAATACCAGAGGTAAAAATCCACCTTACCTGCCTGAGCTAAGATATACATATACTCCAGTAATTCGAACTATTTTAGTCGCCTCTTAAGACCACGCAGGAATAAACGGTGGATTCAATTCCAATGCCTAAACCGTTACAGGCAACCCCTTACTCACTAGAGGAAATTATTTCCCATCCATATTAATATCATCAAATCCAATAAAAATAACAATGAACATTGCATCCAATACAAAACCCAGAACATTCAAACTTGAATTTTATGTTAAATGGAATGAAATGAATTAGTTTTTTGGTCAACCCACTGGAAGCTGAGTTTGTAGTCCAAAAATGACAATTGATAAATGAATAATTAAATGTTGATATAGTTTTAGTAGGTAATGACTTCAAACATTTATCATCTGATCGCAATAGATAAACTTGGATGCAGCAATATACTTCCCCACACAAAATAACAAAATACCCCCAAAACACTCAAACTCTTATATAAGTATGTACAATTGAAAGTTTGTAAGGAAATGTTCTTACGTGGCACCTGGATCGTACTCGGCCCAGACACGCGTGTATTCGTCTAAATGATGCGGACCAAGAATAGAGCTGTCACGTGTCAGATAGTCAAAGTTGTCCATGATAACGGCAACAAATAAATTCAACATCTAAAACATACAAATTACAATATCAATATTGGATACAGTTACCAATGTAAAAGGTCCATTATGGATCAATTCTCATTTAAAAATATAGTACGTATTTATATCAGAGCATGGTTGTGTTTATCAACTTTAATCAAATGTTTAATGTCATCAAAATGTAAACATTCGACACCTAGAAACAGTAATACATTTATCTTTATAATTCAATACAGGCAACTTTTTTTAAATGTCATCATTTTTTTCAGTTATCATAATTATATCAACTTACAAGAAAACAATACACTAAACGTCATAATTAAATAAAGCTTTTTGTGATTTAAAATGCCATCATTTTTAGGTTGCCATTGTTATATCAACTTACAAGAAAAGAACAGAGAAATATAAATGAAACAAAATATCCATAAGCAAGATCAAGGCCGCATTCATTGGTTCCCATGTCAGACAATGGGTCACATGCTGTGTTACTGAGACAAGATAACATTATCTGCTGCCAGTTTTCTCCTGTAGCGCATCTGAAATTTTAGAGGTAAGTTCAAAGATTTGTGCACCAAAAATGTCCAGTAATAAATAAATACAACTCAAGTAAGTAATCTGATATATACATTTTATTTAGTTCACAAGTTTTGATACACAACCGAAATAAGGCATGCCATATCAATTAGTTATATCGACTCTAATGAAAGTTTAGCGTTAGATAATTTCATTGAAGTTATCTTTGACACGGTCACGTCAATAACCGACTTTCAAACACTTGTCCACATACCCTTATAACTTAGGTACAGTAGTTATAAAAATGCTTTACTGTCTCGAATCCATACATATTTAGAATCAATTTAAAAGTAAATGGACATACAGTTTTTTTTTCAAGCCATGATCGCAAACATTCAAAGAGGTGACAATGTTGCATTAAAAGTAGCAAAAGGTCTTTATTTGTGATGAGTTTATTTTCAAACATGATCGAACTAATACGAAGACGTGATACTGTTGCATCAAGTCTATCAAAAGGTCTTTATTGGTAATGTGTGACACTGTAGCATTTAAAGAAGCAAAATGTATTTATTTGTCCCAAATGTTAGAAAAGGATTAAAAGAAATGTTCGCATAATATTACCTGAATAATAACATGAGAGCTTGAAAGAAACTCCTGAAGTTGTTATGCCTGTTGATGTCAGTCTCAGAGTCAAGTTTAATATTGCCGAATATTTGCATGCCGATGATAGCGAAGATGAAGAACAGCATTAGAATGAGCAGACATACGTAAGGCAGGGCCTGTAAATAGAATAAAATATCATGAGGAAACACCAGGACAAATAGGTTCTTTTTGGAGCAATTAAAATAAAAGCAAATAGGTCGTTATGTTACAGATACATTACTTTATACAACTTTATTTTAGTTGGGTTGTGTTGGAAGATATAAGCTTATTGATTCAATCCGTTCCTGGAACCAACCAGTATTAAGCAATAAATGTAAAGTTTCTTGCTCAAGGAAACAACGATATCGATACACTGTGAACGATAGAAAATTTCATGTGCCACCTGTTGTTGGTTGTTTGTTTTTATGACTTAATGATGGATCTTTTTTCAATTTCATCTTTCTTCAATCTACTAGTAGCAATAACTATCTTTTTTGCTTATTCAATAATTCTAATATTTTTTCTGCTTATTCAATAACTCAAACATTATCAAAACCCCGTTTAACTTATAGTAATTATTCCTAAGGAAAAAGCCTTGATAAGCATTTTATGCTTCGGATCTGATCCTTTGTCAGCATTGTATAGTGATATTCAATATTGTATGTAAATTTTGTTTGTGGAAAATGTTTTGAATAAAATATTTTTAAACTAAAAGCAAATAGTTGAAAACGAGAGTCGGTTTTACATTTTGTTTGCATTTGGCCTGTTCGTGGCTGGCAACTAATATAAAAATACAATATCGATCACCAGGGGTCAGAACAACTTCACTTGCTGGAGCTAAGAGATGCATAGACTCCAGTTATTCAAACCCATTTAGTCGCCTTTTACGATCAGGCAGGGATAAACAGTGGCTGCAATTCTGATGCCTCAACCATTACAACCCCCAACCACAAAGGAAACTTCTTGTGAATAACATTTTTGGATAATTTTTTTTTATGTTATCACATGTTCCCAAATGTAATGGAAATGTGACATTATGCCAATTTCAAGTGTAAATGGTCAGTTGATAGGTGAACTCAAAATAGTTTGACATTTTACTATTGTTATGTTAAGTTATATAATTAAAATTAAAAAAAATCAATAACCCACGTGGCAAGTGGAAATTTCTATCGTTCACAATGATTTGGTAAAAAGAGTGGGACAGTCTTTTCACAGCCTAGGCCGTATTTTGATTGTATTAGAAACATTTTTCTAATAGTTAATCTTTTGAAATATATATTTCTAGTTCAACTCGACTTGGTTGCAACAAATGGCATAAAATTGATTCAATATATCTTATATATCTTACCTTAAATGATTGTAAAAATGTCCAAAGAAGTAATCTTATTGTGTATCCTTGACGTAGGAGCTTAACCAGTCTAGCTGCACGGAACAACCTGAAGATGCCGACATTCAACCCAACATAATCTCCCTGAAAACATAATGTACATCAATAAATCGGTATAAAATAACTGTCCTGTTAGTTCTACAATTGATCTGTATAGCATCTTCCTATCAGAAACCACTTTGAAGAGGCAATTAACACGATTAAAGAATTTAACAAGGGTATTCCTAATGTTGCAAAAATTAAAAATGACCATCATGGCCGACTGTTTTTTTTTTTTAATTTCAATAAATTATGACTTCCATGCGTATGATTTTTATGTATATAAAATGTGTAACAATACATAAAATGGAATCAAAAAGAGCACTTTATTTCTTATTTATTAAACAAACATGGACACAATGATTTACATTTTTCTTTTCCGATATGTAAACAGTTATGAAAAAGAATAAATGTTAAACATTACACATTATTTTACCTGTATTTTAACATTTAAAGTGAGATAACAACATTTAATGTGAAACAATATAAAGAATTAAGATTCTATCTACGGATTAAGAGATTCCGACCATTCTAAGCTCAAACAGTTTAGGCTATCTACCTTTCTTTGCCTTCTTTTTGTTTCTTACTTTTTTGTCTGTCTATTCTTTAATCTGACATAAATGTATTTATTTGGTCATATCTGTGCGACCGATCCACCTTACATACTTGTTGATAACTAACCACAAATTACCAATTTCACGCAAGTGACTGATTACTAATCCAACATGATTTATGAATCAGCAGTGACCATCAGTCACATGATCATGACTACTTGACCCAATGTCTAAAGTTCAATACTGACGGAGAAACTTCGCCTCATCCGAGGATTTGACCAGCCACCCTTCCACAAATCCGATGAACACCATAATAAAATAAGCAGACAGACAAAAAGGTCAAATTTGGCAAGATATTATTTGGCTCCCTTTTCTATCACGGACATTTCTTACTCGTACTTTACAAGACACAAACAAAGGCAAAGATGGCCGAATCAGATGAGCGTGAGATGGATGGAATATCTTGATACATATTGGTTAGCTATTCACAATTCAAAATAACAACTTAACAACAGGCAGTATAATCTATTGTATTAACTAGGAAAATCTAAATATCTACGTCACGTTGGTGATTCGTTTGCACAGACTTCTACTTCTGCTAATGGACTTCAAATGGCATTATGTTTTACCATTCAAATGTTTATGATGCAAAGGTAACAAAACAGGACTATACAAAAAAGCTGGAAATATAACTTAGAGCCATTAATAGTCCATTAACATATGATCGATTCAGCTCGAATATTCTGCTAAAGGAAATATATAACATAAAAAACAATTTAACTATAAGATGGTAGTTTCAACTGAAAGAAACAGGGTGGTATCGTAATAGATATGTCCAAGAATATTAACATAAACCAAGTATGTTATAAAGCTTGAAAATAAACTGGTTACGTCATACATACAATTTAAACAAACAATTGGATGATGGTATAAATATTGTTTCAACATAACTCAGGTTATTTAATCAGGTAAAATCTGAAAAACTAAAAATAAGCTTTTTATTCAGTTACAATGCTAACCAACTGAGCTTGATAAACATGATTGGCAAACCAGAGCATACGGTTCCACGTGACAAGTGCCAAATGTTTCCCAACGTTCCTTTTACAAGTTTACAAAAATGGTAATAATCAACAGAACTATGATGCATTTTAAATGACTTATTATTTTGGTATTCTTCAAAATAGTTTATTTTCTGCTTCGTTGGAGGTTGATTTACTTTGTGAAATATATACATATATTGATAGAAAATTTCTTTCGTTTCTATTATAACTTGTAAGTTATTAATAAAATATGAGAATATGTCTTCAAAACACGTCACATTGTATTCCAAATACCAAGTATCATTTTAAAAAAGTTCGCATTGTTTTGTCAGCTATTAAAATATATATTATCGTTAGAACGATTAACTTATTAATATACAGGACTTCAAAATATCAGTGTCAGCTCAATTTGGGACTGATTGTTCCATAATTGTGAAAACAGTGCTCAAGAAGTTTTTTCACACTACAAAATTGACAAACCACGTGACTGCATTGGAATATGCACTGTTCATGTCAGTAACGAAACAAAATCAAGTGCATAAAAGTTGGACTCAATCAATTCATAAAATCTTCCTTAGATTACTGTTCTTACTGATGAATTACTATTTTTTTCCCATTTATCACAGTGGTGCAGGCAAAAGCTAACTTTGCGAAGTAAACTAAGCAACTAAACACAATTTAAATAAAAATGTCACATTGACGAATCCGCTTTTAAAAATCTAATGATGCATTAGTAATCAAGTTTTGGATTATTGTAAGCGTTTAGACTCAAATAAGCCCAACTTTTAAGCAAATTTAACGTAGTAATACAAGCTCAGTGATTTCGACTGCATAGGGACTTCACTATGGTGGTACTGTGCGGAATGCTGTAAAAAACCATGCTGCCTATATTTGCATTAAATTCCGTATGCATAACAAACCTGTTCTTCCCCTGTTACCATTTCTGCAACCCGGTCCTTGAAACAATATTCATATATAGTTTCAGCAAACATTGATTGAAATTTGCAAAAAGAAAACAGCGGAATTCAATGGCTGTAAAGGGGAGCCTGCTTTAGTAACTGTAAAGGCTATCCAACAAAATTAACTATTTATGTATGGAGTACCCTATAAATGTAACATATAAAAACAAAATTTGAATAAATTTTACCTTCTGGCAAATATGTTTCGGTACATATTATGTCACAAAATCCTAATAATTTGAAATGCATACCGAAAGTGCTCTTTGGTTAGGAATATTTTAAAGCATGTTGTATGTTGAAAAACTAAAATACTTGTTACATAAGTTAAATGTTAACTATATTTGTTAAGATGATTATGTACAAAGTGTAGCAATGGCTGAAACATGTGATTTTGCGCAGAATATTTGTCATAAGGAAATTGCAATGAACAAGTGCAAGGAAGTTAGAGTGCTGTAGTTAGTATGTTACTTTATGACAAAATGGTTTAGAGTAAGCCCACATTATGACAGTTGCAAATGCATAATCTAGTGTGTCCAAGCACTGCAAAATAACCAGTGCTTTATATAGTATTAGACATAACGAATAAAAAAATCTTAGTCATATTCATGTATATGATTCAGAATCACATGTTTATCGGTCTCTTAGTTTACTTGTTACGAGCCATTTAATTTTAGGGATACAATATAAGGCAAATATGTTTTTTTCCGGAATTGGTAAAATACTTTAATGACTTTCATACGACGACACGTAACTTAGCTTCACGACGTCATCAACACTTTGGTGATTTTTAGAGAATAACTAATTGCTGATGCAATTGATGTTTTATACGCATATTAGACAGAAAGATTGGTTTTATTACACTTCTTGTATGAATATAATATGCAATGATATATGCATGAGCACGTATTAAACATTTTTAAAATTAACCACCGTAACATTGTTTCATATAAAATAAACGTTCTTTATTAAAACATTATCTATAAGGTTTAAAGCTGTTAATAGTAGCTTTAAATGTTCAGATATACTACATATTAGCAATTGAGAAAAAATAATAGTATTGTTATAAATACCCTTTTAGGCGTGGGTTTAACGTTTCATTTGATTTATTGGTTTAACTTGTTCTTAACTAATATTATTTTTTTCGTTGGTTTTATTATAAAAGTTTTGATTTAGATTTCTATCTTCTATTCGACAACATTCAAATGGGTAGCACTATAAAGCAAAAGCTTGGAAGTACATTCAGATACTGAGGACGTATTGCTATAGTCATGTTAAGACATAGAAACAACATTTAATAAGCATGTTAGTTGTATGACTGTGTAGACTAACTTACCCCAAACTCATTTATCATCACGTCCAAGATGCTCCCTAACACGGTGACAAAGTCAAATATATTCCAGGCATCACGGAAATAATTCTAAAATGAAAAGTAATAACCTTTTTTTGTTTATCAAATATATAATGTCAATGTCAATATAAGATGTTATTAAATGTTTTTATGAAAATGTTATTACACCATTATCATTTAATACAATGTTTAAACATAAAATGAGTAGAATACCATAGCAAAAGTTAATTACCTCTAAATTTATTTTTCATTGTTTTTTTTTTAATGTAAATTCTTTAAACAAAATTAAGAGTTTCTTTGACAATTTTTTTTATCTTAGATTATCTGTTCAGAAACTTAGAATACGTGTTCAAAAAACAACATAAATATTAATCCTTGTCTACAAAATTGTTATTTTTTATATCTTAAAGTTATTTTAAAGTTATCTTAAAGTTATCTATAAGTTATCATTAATGTAAATTCAAGACATTTATACATACGATCATTTAAACAATACAATAGCAATCTGCAGGGAAATCTAAATCTACCACTGTTGATATACTACAAGACTTGTGAGAGTGTATAAAACAAAAGGCTACATTGCATTTTAAAATGATATTTTCTTTGCTGAAATTTTAAGACCTATCAATTTGTTAAATAAGCGATTTTAAAATATATGTATTTAACTTTTATCTATGTAACATTGAACATTCTTTGCTATCAGAATGGAATGCATATATCTTTAAAAATATAGCATACCCATTCAATCCCATACCATTATTTGAAATATAACTATAATCATAAACATGTTCATAATGTATTTTCATATTTTGATTTACAACAAAAACTTTATTGGGTGAATGATTAATTTTTAAATCGAAACTTTAGTGTAGAAAACACTATTTGATATATATTGTATATTAAACTAAAAAGGAAATGCATTAAAATATTCGATATAACTTTTAATAATTGCCTGATATATAATGTATGTTTTTATCAATACATTTTATTCATTGAATTTGTAGTGTTCAAACGGAAGTGTAAATGCGAATATATGCAAGTGTTCAAAGAATATTCGAAACATGAGTTTAGGGTTAAAAATTTATGATTTATGGAAATATCACTGTCACCAGTGCATAAAATTACATTATTATAAATATTATGAACATCTTACTAAATTTGATTTTATCATTGCAATTATCACGTTATTACTGACGTTTTTGTCATTTTTGTTTTTGCAATCTGCTCTTTGCTTTATCAACTTTACTTGAACACCGTTTTGAATGAGAATCCCGTTCTTTGGTACGTTCAAATGCAATATACCTTTTTTCAACAAGTAAACAAATTATAAATTAAAAAAATATAAATGAGCGGTACTTTACATGCTACATAGCATTTAAAATAAATGAATAAATACTTAAATAAAAAATACAAGAAATGCATGTCAATAACAAGTGAAATGAGGATAGCTCGGAAAGCATACGACGGTTTAGAACATTATAGAATTATATTAATCGACCAAAACGTTTTGAAATTTTGACTCGGAAAGAAACATACTATAAATAGCGTAACTATCAAATATGTTACAAATAGCGTAACTACTGTATTTGTTATAAAGCGCAAACGTCCTGGTCACGCATGAATTCGTGTTCATGTATTGAAATGGCCAACTCATAAATTTATAATTTTGTAAATATTGCCTGATACAAATGTTATCATAAATTTGTAAAATATTACAGTACAGTATAACAAGGTGCAACAAGCGACAACCTTTGCCTATGATCGAAAGCAACAGCCTCCTATGACTTCGCACAACTGTTTTTATTCATATCTTTACAGAACATCCTTCCCAAACAAAAATACCGATTTAAATGGCGATCGAAGTTTTACTTAACGTCTTACGTAACACTCATATATACCGTTTTTCTATGATAAATGAATCAACTCGCTCATTTAGTTATGCGAAAGATATGATCACATGCGATATTGTTGAAAGATTATCATTATTCTGATAAAACATTCGGTAAAAAAAGAGTATATAAATTCTCTGTTAATCCGTTAGATATTGGGTGGCTATGAGATAAATAATTCAACGACGATTGATACACAACAATTTCCACTGAGTATTAAACATATGATGGTCGTGGCTTTGACAAACCTTGCTTTTTTGATGAAGCATGAAATAGAACGTTTATATGCAAACACTCTAACTTTGTTAGTCTAGAGAACCCGGTATGAATGATATTCAACGAACGTGAAAGCATGTATAACATAAAATTGACTGTGCATTCCTTTTTTCTTTTATTAAAATGTGTGAGTGTTACTATCCTGGAACCAGTCATGTATAATTGCAGTATTAAAGTGGTCCAAAGAAGCAACGAAAAGATCAACATTTGTTGATGTTTGACTGCAAGTTAAGACATAAAAGCCAAGCACACCCATTTGAAAGAAAAAATGACGATTTGACTGACATGCCACAAACTGATCTACCATCAAAGTATTTGTTTTCTGACAATAAAACTATAATAAGGAATTGATTGCACGTTATTTTCGTAGTCGTAGAGGGGGTTTACACATACAATATTTATACTACACATATAGAATTCAAACCTTAATCCCAAACGCCAATAGTTTTAGAATACATTCAATCGTAAATAGCACCGTGAAGATTATATTTATAGATATGAGAACCTTCTCATAGAATGACCCTTGGTCAGTGATTGAAGTATGTCCGTTCTCTGTCGACCGCTCCCGAAACTTATTCTCAAAGTCTTGCTGATTATTAAACTGATACAAAAATTGTAAAAAACAAAGTAAGTACAACTTGAAATTATGCTTAAGTCATTAAGCAGTGGTTTTAAAAAACAACAATAACATCTCTTAGTAATCTGCATCATCAATGCCATCGAAAATTGACTTTTTTGAAAGATTATGTATATATCTGATACACATATGTAAATATATAATCTATAATCATTGATATATAGAATAGATTATCCATTATTTACACAAGTAAAAAAGTATTAAATTTGTGTATCAAAATGATATTGCTCAAAACGGAAAGCATTGGATGATACAAATTCTTAGAGCAAGGCACTCCACCATTCATTTGTTAATGGAAGGTGATCAACAACGCAGAACCTCAGAAATTAGTACAAATGTCCAATTAAAAAGATGCTAATTTACCTACACCTAATATATGTACCATAAATGTACCGCAACAATTTACATCTCAACAGTTCATGAGTAGCATTGCGGCGACATTTATGGAATTGTTAAACTGCTCTAGGTGTATGATAAAATCTGTATATATATATTTATTTCGGTGTCAAGAAAAAATACTTGGTTTAGCAAATTAGAAAGCATTTAAAGAAATAAAAATATTCAAGCTAAGAAAACAACAATGATAAAAAAATGACCGTTTGATTTAATTTGCATACAGATTATATCGTTCACCTTTTCCCATACTTAAATTAATTCGCTAGCTAATATTCTCAACAGAACACCACTCTCAAAGGCAAATGTATATATACACATATATATGCAAGCCCAATCATTTCTCCATTCCCATTTATACACGAATACGTACAAGTATTTTAGAATCTGGAAGACATTTTGTGTGACGTTAAGAGACAAATTTGCAAGTTTATATAATCAATCATGAAAAATGTCATTTATTTGATTCTCTGAAATTTTGCTTGTAGTCATCCAAAATTATGGAAACATTAAACGTTAAAAAACAATATTTACGAATGCCAACATTAGAACAGACGAAAAATAAAGTTAAGTTTTCTGATATTCATTTTCTGACGTAATTTCAAACATTCATTGAATATATTCTAACAATTGACATGTAATGAAAGTAAAAATGGTTTATTTTAAAATATGATAAAGAAGAGAATTCCTCAAAACATCACTTCATGCTCCTTATGTAAGTATCATATAATTTTATTGGTATGGCCATGATTTTCTAAAATTGAAAATGTGAAAAAGTGTAAAAGGAAAAAAGAATAAACTCTTTTATTTCAATTCACAATATCTTTCATTTTTGTGTATGACGACAAAATTTTCTGAGAACCAAAGACATAATTAAAAACCTTAAAGGTTCGAAAATGACAATGTGCTCTTAAAAGTCAGACTGAATGTCTTCCAGATGGATGACATGGCCTTCATGGAAAGGTATGACATTAAAAAACTACATTTCTGACACAAATAGTGCATGTAATAAAAAACTTAGCTTTGTATATGTACAAAAAAGTATAAAGTTATGATACTGAATGCCATAACAACTTTCGTTTTTATCCCTACTTTTCCAAAACGGATGATCGTAATCAATCTTTATTTCCGAATATACTAAATGCATACCGATATAGAAGGCCAGCTCAAAACACGTGCAAAAGAAACCTCGTGTCCGGTTAATATATATAGAAAAACATCCACAATTGTGAAAATAAACTGTGACAGTGTGGGTTAGCTATTTCAGTTGCAACTCTCTTACCCTTCCAAACCCCAACAATTTTAACACGCACTCTATGGTAAATGCAATCGTGCACGCCATGTTAATGTACTTAAGGATGGCACTATACAATGGAGGTTCTTTATAAAGCTATAAATACAAAAAGATGGTAAATTACCATAGAAATGGTGATTATTCTTTATTGCTAAAAGTATGCAATTGCCTTATGTGTAAAGTGCTGCTTCAACAGCGTTTAAATAAGCAATTACATACTTTTATATCAACCTATGTTTTAAGTTCAGATATATATGTTACAGAAAGTTTTTCATATCATTAAACCAACATGTTGATTCAGTGTATAATGTGACGATAGGATGCGAGGATTTTTTTTGTAAGTCAAATTTATAGAACTTAAATACTATATATATACTATAATATAGAACTGAAAAATCATCTCGATGTTTCTACGTAAAATTGTTGCTTTTAACGAATTCAAATAAACATATAAATTCATACACATATATTCACTGTGCTGACATAAATATGAAAAACTTCCGATTTGTTTCAGTTCTTGGAAAAGATAAACAGCAATCATGTCTCTACTTTTAAATGAAGAGAATAAATAACACATTATATATCAATTGCTTTTCACAACCCTGTTGTATATCATATATATAATATATATCATTGCAATGAACATGGTACTCCCCTTGTCATCACACTATCTATCGTGAAAACACATTTTCATATATCACGTGACGTACATGGTGAAAGCAAAGAAGCAGATGAAAACTAAAACTGCATTTAAATCATTAAACAATGGCTTGATTTGCTTTTTAAAGGACTTTCTCAATGGCTATTTATTTGACATGAAAAAAATACCAACATCTTTTAAGATTATTTTCTGAAATAAGTATGCTACCAAGTGTACAATTAATATCCATCTGGACGTAATATAGCTTACATATAAATGGCATCTTTATTGTGAATGGTATAGTGATACATAGCCATTAACAAAGTCCCATATTTTCTTGTTGTTCTACATAATTGCTACATAAATATAAACCAAACCAAAGATTCGTCAGGAATAGGCGGACACTTAAATATTATCAATATGTTTTTGCTTTAAATGTCAACGGGTGATGCGAAAAACCATCACTGACTGATGACAAAATATCTATATGCTGATTACATATTCTTGGGAAGCAATGTATGAGGCAAAGCCTTCTATTATTATATTCTATATCCAGCTATTCATATCAAAACAAAATTCAAGTCTGTGGCAAAAATCTATGGATAAATAAACACGATTTCTGCTCATATCGTGAATTTATACTGGTCCATTAGGTATTCAACGTTCTCGGCAAAGTTGACTGTACTTTTAATATTTTTGTGAAACTTTGTATTTAATACGATTTCAAAAAAAAACTTAATTAGAGGATACATTTACGTATACATTTGTCATTTGTTACGAAAGAAGCAACTTAAAGCATAATGTTGACACAGTCACCCTACGACATCTGAACGTAAACAATGTGTTAAATGTGGGAAACAAACTTTGAGCCTTACTTCGTCTAAACTTGTTTTTGCATTATGAACCTGTAAATTTTGGTAACAAAAATTTAATTGTGTAAAAAAACGAGTTCTGAGAATCAATTAATCATTTCAACAAGATGATGTAAATTATTTAAACACAGTTTTGAGCTGTACACATTGCATTTTTATACGCTGTCCTTTTCCAGAACAGCCTTTTTCCAGAACAGCGCAAAATGTTCTTCAAAAAAGTCAGGCTGTCAGAAAAAAAAAATTATATGGTAAAGAAATTTAGAAATACGTATTAACTTATATAGAAATACGTATTAACTTATTTAGAAATACGTATTAACTTATTCACACATGCTATATGCAAAACATTTCATATATAATAACGAGTAGTACGAATTTAGATTTTTTTTTTTTCAATTTTTTAACAATGTATGTAACACGTTTGCTGATTGTAAGTACCAAAATGCTTCAGTTTAAACTACTTTACTTGATAACTGTTTATAACATTTTTGAAGTTTGACAGCCTGGATGATGCTACTTTATCGCCTGCCGATGCTATAGAAATGAACGGAATTAAATGATGGTTAAAGTAATTAATTATATTTGAACAGTAGGAAAACCAAAAGCGTGCTTTATGTGTCAATGCACTTGTACGTCATTTAATTGCTTGCAAAGTAAATTCATAAACCCGATGTAATTTCGTGTGTTGCTGGATATGAAATATATCATTTACAAAAAGATTTCGCTTTCTAAGGCAGCAGAATAAAGGAAAAAGCGGAAAAAACTGGACATAAGTTCCTTTACCTGAAAATGAATGCAATAACTTTGAATTGAAAACAGAAAGACTAACAACCCGTATTTAGTTTGATTATAGTAGACCATAAAGACTTTCTATTCAAAATTATTTTGATAAAAAAGTTCTATGAAAACAAGCTTAACAAAATTGCAATAAAAAGTCCGTTAAGAACTACTATTTGAACCCGCTTTGAAAAAGGAAAGCTCATAGCGAAATGACCCCTTGGGAATAGTGAAAACAAAATTCAACTACATAGATGGAAATTGGCAGACTTAGTTTTATTATATATCTGTTTATCAGATATATAAGTTACAACGAAATATATTACGTTGTACAAAAAAGTCAAGATTCGTTTTGGAATTATTACTAAAACTTTTTACCATGTAATATTTTTTACGCAATTCGTTTGCAAAAAACACAGTCCTTGAGTTAACTTATTCAATTATTTCCCAACCGGTTTCTCTTATGATCATAGGGGCAAATGTGACGTCGTCGCATAGTAACGACGGCGTTTTGTGTACACACGAGTACGCATAATCTAAAAATAGTAACGTCATTATATAGTATTAAGTTTTGGATTAAAAACATCAATAAAATAGCGTTCTTTAGATAACCTAGCTGAAACGTTTTTACTGTGAAATTTATAAAATGGGAAAATACAAAAATTTCGGGTCTTTTTTAGAGCATTTATCTAAATGCTCACTTAAAGGTAATTGTCTGGTTGATGGGTCTCTTATCTGCTGAGCATGAACAGTTTTTCTGTTTCTGAGTTTGTCACCTGTTTGGCCTATGTAAAATTCTTTGCAGCCGTTGCAAACTAAAACATATAAAACATTTTCAACAGTACAGTCCATATTTTCTTTTGTATGAAATATTTTATCCTGAAGTTTCACAGTAAAAACGTTTCAGCTAGGTTATCTAAAGAACGCTATTTTATTGATGTTTTAATCCAAAACTTAATACTATATAATGACGTTACTATTTTTAGATTATGCGTACACATGTGTACACAAAAACGTCGTCGTTACTATGCGACGACGTCACATTTGCCCTGATGATCATAAGAGAAACCGGTTGGCAAATAATTAAATAAGTTAACTCATGGACTGTGTTTTTTGTTTTATTTATATGTGACTTTTTTCCGGCACTTGTTTTCATTTTTTTATATATATATATATATATATATATATATATATATATATATATATATATATATATATATATAATATATATTATATATATATATATATATATATAATAAACAATAAAAAACATAATTCGATTGAGAAATGATCATTAAAACATTAATATCAAAAGTCCTATAATATTGTAAGATAAAATATGTCCATAAGCAAAGATTCCAAATATTCTTTATATTAATAAATTTTGAAATGATTTATTTCAATAAATTAAATTGCTCTTTTTACAAGACTATGGCAATATACGAACGTATTATGACCATAAAGCTGAAAAATTTAAAGTTGTCGTGTTAAGAAGCAAATCTTTGCTTGTCTAACAATTTATAACCTTTATCAAGAACAATAACTAAATGGAAACAATCATTTTATTGGTTAAATTATTGTTTTCTTATTGACCTGTGAAAATTATCAATCAAGATAAACATATGTAAGAAAATAACAATAGGACTAAACTTGTATACATGTGATATGATGATAAATTACGTACCTTCATCATAAGAACCACTGTATTTAAGGCTATAAGTGTCATGACTAAATATTCAAACTTTGTGGAAACTACCAATTTCCAAACACGATATTTGAAAGACCCTTTATTCTTTGGCATAAATCGACACAGCGGTTTAGCATTCATTGTAAAGTCAATGCATTGTTTCTGAAAAATTAAAACACAGCAAAGCATTTCAGCAAAAGCCATACCATAACACATTGTATTTATTTCATTATTTTAATAAGAGAAACAAGTACGCTCGTATCTGAGTACCTGTATTGAATAATATGTTTTTATGTAAAATAATGCACACGAATATTTGTATTTTCATATAAGCATTTTATATGTGACATTTGCCAACAAAAATAGGGTCTGTGCCATCTTACTCCCTTGCTTAACACCGAATCTAAATCACACTTGATATCAAAGCATATAGTCGTCTATATTTCACCATCGGTATAACACGTAAGTCAAGTGTTTATATACATAAAAAAGAAGATGAAATGTTTTATTTATAATATATTTTAATCTACTTTTAATTTAACAGTTCAAAATATAAGCCTTTATTTATATTTAAATATAACCTTGGTAATGGCATAGACAGACTGTTAAACGGTATTGCTTACTTGATTTTTATCTAAATCTTGATCACCAAGATCGCTTTCTCCTTGTTCTTGGAATGTAATGATAATAAGAGCTACGAAGATATTGACGAAGAAAAACGGAAATACAATAAAGAAGACGACATAAAACACGGCCATTTCCATGTGGTAGTTAGGCTGCGGTCCTTGGTCAACAAACGTAGAGTCCATGGAATTCTTCAATACACTGAAATCAGTTAATGATATTGTAGTATAAGTGTAATGTGTGTTGACGGAGCCTAACTGTTAAATGGAAGAACATGTATTTGTCATATCGTATAAAACATCCACAAAACCGCAAAAATATCAAAAGGAAAACATATATTATGCCGATATTAAACACACAAAAAAACGGTTAATCAAGTAAAGCATTCAAAGTTCTACTGTATATTTGATTAGACATGCATATTCTCTATTTATTATTCTGCTATTTTAGCAGGTTTTGGCGACAATTTCAAGCAGTTTCACATATTCTGTAATCATGTTACAATAATTTACGATTATAAGACAGCAGCTATTCAGCATTATATTCTTCAAAAGGAGTTAATATATGCGAAAAACATACGCTGGCCATCCTTCTCCAGTTGTTACGGTAAACAATGTTAACATGGCATACATAACATTATCATAATGGAAGTCTTGTCGGGCCCACAATCGTTCTTCAACTTTAGGTGAATCAGGACCGTCTTCATAGGAAAAGTACTGTCCTCTGTAAGATCAATATCCAATTAAAACGATAACAAAAGTATAATTAAAACATAAACTGTTAACTTTCTGGAAAAAAAATAAAGAAAAAAAAAAAAGAAGATCGGTAAACGAATTGTTCGTTTGACTAATTTAAATATAACATAGACAGCGGACCGGTAGATAAGAGGTATTGAGGGGGTTTCCATATTGTTCATGCATTTTTTCACCGACGGCAATTTTCATTTTCCACCTTGACAATTATATGAAACGAGTGATCTAAAAATAACATATTATAACATATTTAACCTTTACAAAAGCTGAAGGCCGCCTAAAAGAGTAGAGGGAAGCTGGAATAATGAAATATAATTATACTGACTTGCATTCCTCACGTGTTTCTTTTGATTCGTCGGTACAATAGAAAAATTTCCCTTTAAACAACTGTACAGCGATGACGGCGAAGATGAATTGGAACAACATATAAACGATAAGTATGTTAGACACGTTCTTCAGTGAGTTCACAACACAATCGAAGACAGCCTGTAACGAAACAAAAGTATGTATGCATACGGTATGAAACAAAGACTTTACACTGGTTATATCTAAACGATTAGGAAAGAAAGATTACAGCGACGTTCTAGCTTTACTGGTGGAGAAAGACCTAAGAAGCCCTTCCGTGCATTATTTCGGGAACGAACGGGCACCTGAGTAGAACAACCGACGTTCTATAAGCTAGCTGGTCAAATGCAAATGATTAAGGATGAAAACATTACATTGCATTATTGGTAATGGTGAGTTATTACTTAGACAGAGGCAACAAATTAGCTTCAGCTTAACACTTCATGTATAAGTTATCAAATTTCAACATATTCTAGGTAGAAACCCCAACAACCAAGTGTTTCATTTTTTTTTAATTACTTCTATAAAAATGTTAATCAGTCATAAATGATATGAATAAATTATATAAGATACTTTTTGAATGTATTCTAATACGTGATATTGTAGCAGTATTCAGAAGAAACTTTGATCATAAGTTTCAAATTATTAGTGTTATGTACAATCAGGTTAAAAATGTAAATATTTGTATCTTGGAATACGCCTACGAATTCGCTTTTATGCAAAATAAATATTCATTAAGAATCACGCGCCGATAAAAAATTGTTCCACTTTCGAAAAATAAAGATTATTAACATATATTCCAGACGTCTACAATAATAAAATATACGAACCTTGAGTTTTGGAACTCGGTTAATGGTTTTTAATGGTCGTAGCACTCTCAAAACTCTTAGCGATTTGATTGTATTTAAATTCTTCCCTGCGCTGTCGCTGTAAAGAACATAATTCTTCATAAAATCATTGTTTATGCATGAACATACCTACTTTAATATATTGCTAAATAAAATATATTTGTTGAAAGCCTGGAGATTTTAACTAGAACAAAGGAGTTCATGAATTGGATAACGAATTTACAAAGAATCACTTATGCTCTAGAACCATAACTAATGCTGAAATATATATAACTGTATTAAGTAGGTTGGTTACAGTGGATTACCTTGGTCAACACCTAATATACCTTCAAAAGTTGTTACGTCATGTACAAGTCAATTATATCTTACCTAAAGTTTTAAATTGTATACTTTAATACAGAAGACTACTTTATATATAATAGACAAAACAAAGAGAGAGAGAAAAAAACACTGGTTATAGTGTGCGAACTGTTGTATCTAGTGCATTATATAAACTTCAAGATGCCTCTAACACACAACGGAAACATCGAAAATAACAATACATTTTCGTTAAAATTACGAATATTTTGATTTCTGACAGTTTTCTACTTCAGCTTATCAAATTCACTGCTGAAAAGGACAAGAAAACATATTGTAATCTTAAGCCCGTAACACAGCACAAGGGTAAAATAAGAAAAGAAACAAATTCACGAAGCTACATATTCACTTTAGACTGATTCCAGTTATATTATCGTTTATCGTATATCCACAAATGTTGTTTTTTTCTGTTGCATGAATATTTGGCACATAACGCGTAAGAATGCTTATTTCGATAAAGACGCAATGACACTTCAATTAAAAACACTTAAAATAATTGATAAATACATTTCTACATGATTTAACGTTGGTAAATTTCCAGTATTAAGTTTAACATGTCATTTTTCACTTCTTTCAGAAAATTTCAAGAATTGCGATAAAAAATCTAATTATCTTCAAATTTGAAGAACATTTTGTAAACACACTAAAAAAAAAGATTTTCTCAGAAAAAAACATGAAAACAAAAAACTGTAAAATTGGAAAAAAAAAATATATATGCACAACAGCGTGCTTTGATATATATGTGTTCATTGCATGTACTAGTATTTTAATGGGAACAAAATTGTTTTAGAATTTAATTTTCATAAGTGATACAAATATGATGAAGAAATTGTCTTCATCACTACTAATTGAATATCAATTTGTGTAAATATTTGGTCCGTAAACTGTAAATTATATTGAAATTTTTTTTTATTCCAGCTATGATAATAAAGCTACATGATTAATTCATTACAAATACATTACGCGAAGTAAATGGTAGCTCAAAACTGTTTTATTTTTTTTTATTGTATTGAATGAGGGTTTTGGGTAACACTAAAGAAAGAAATCAAACGAAACAAAACGTCAGACAACTTCGTCACATCAGAAAACAAGAAGGAAAAGAAACACACTAACATTATTTCGGTAGTCAATATATTTTATGGTAACAATAAACTGAATATTCAGTAAAATCTACCTAAAGTGGATATAAAAGAGCGACCTACGCGTAATTTGTAAAACAAAAAAAAATGGTCATATGATAAGATAAGCAATCTTATAAAGATCTTTTTTATTTTCTTAATATTATTTCCCTGTTAAAACATATGCATTAGAAGAGCTTTCAAATGTTTGTATCTATAACACACATTCATTTGTATCTATAACATACATTCATTAATATGCCCTGTACCTACCACATTTGCGCACATTAAACAAGCTCGATATTTTCTTCATATCAAGACAAATTTATTTTTAAAAAGCTTTTGCTCCCATATAAAAGCAAGCTATGTTTTTAACAGTTATATTCAATCATCTACTTAAAATGCATATACTAATCGTAAAAAAGGTGTCAATCTAGGACGTCCATCTTAATGCATTACTCAGTGGTTGACATTTGGTGCGGATAACTATGTCAGTGATGGTTAAAAATCCTGCATGGTATTCTTAAAATATCTAACATAAATAGGAAAAAAGAAAACTTAATATTCAAAACACGCTAGACTAATAGGTGCATGCAGCCGGGTACAAAACTTTTTCCTTCGAAATCGGAACCAGTTTTTTGACAGTATCTCAGATATGATAATTGTTCACTGTTAAGTGTATATAAATTGATTTGCTTTATAAATTCTATTTAAAATTTTCAATGAATAGAATCATGACCTAGAATAGAAACCAATCAAGAAAAATATATAAAAAACCGCCAGCACATCGTGAAACGCATACCAGTATTTGGTATTATCAAAACATCTTTGCAATGTTTTGTAATTGGTTCTTCAATTTCATTACAAAATTTGAATCGCGAACTATTGGCTCTACCATGCAGGACTTTTGTTTATAAACACTTACCTAAGCATGTTCGATTTGCTAAATAAAATAAACAGATTCTTTGGAGCAAAAATCATAACAATAGGTAAACTTATTCATAAATAAGCAAATTGCGGTGTACTCATCTTTGAACATAAAGACATTGTCAGTCATGGGCAATATATCATACAATTGGGACATATCAATTTCAGAAGTATTCTATTGAAAAAATAGTACCAATGGTTTGGTGTCAGATGATATTATATGATATATTACTTTACGACATTGTACACTTTCAGATAGATGTCGTGAACTACGTCACAAAAGAGAAAGGAGGTAAGAGCGGGAAAGCATGCATATACGTTTATGTTGTACACGAAAGTGTGAGACACATGTTTAGTGTAATATGCCTTTACAATCAGTGCGCGTTGTAGCAGCACTAATTGTTTTCTTGCACACAATATAGAACCGTGACGAGATACATGTACATATCGAGGGTTGACCGCAAAACGGCAGTAACTTATATGAAATAAGGAAGTACATACAACAGTTTTCCAGTCAACCCTCGATATGCATTCATCTATGGCATTTTATCACGGAGTGTATAAATGCAAGAGCACACTGCCGACACAAAAAGTGTGATTCAACCTGATTGGTTTTGTTTAGTGTAAGAAACGTGAACATGTCGTGTAGTTAAGTACTTTAATCCACCAAGTATAAATATATTGACACTTAAATGCACTGTTCTATAAAGGATTTTATTGTTAGTAAATATGAACTTTTAATGCTTTCATAGTACGCTGAAACCAATCAGTAATTATGTGTTTGTAACCCTAAGTATCATAATAAAATCTTTAAAATATCTGGAAAAAGTGATCCCTCGGAAGCATCAAAATCAGCAAAATTACATGAAAATTACAGACTCGGTTTGATTGAGTCTGTACATGAATATCTATATACAGTTGACGACATTTTTAATGAGATTTTCATTTCAAAATTCAAGAATTATTACAGAAGTCCAAAGAGCAACCATCTTGATATCTATTTTACAGTATCAGCAAAAAAGTAAAAAATAAAAATATGTTTTCGATTAGGTGATTACATGGCTTATACAATTCCATAAATAATATTCTATAACTCATATGTTAAAATCATATTTTTAATAATAAATAAATCACTACTACAGTCCCATACAAGTCAATGAGCAGCGTGGAGTATTAGTAAAATAGTATACTGTTGTTTTTTTTTAGTTCTTATGAAATAATAAGTGCTTTAATATTATATAAGATCTAGGGTGCTGGCTTGATTAGGTTTGTCAGTATTAACTCTAATATCTACTGTTAAAAAAGCAATTAATAAAATAACATTTGGTTATATTGAAAAATAAACTGGTTAGTGAAAAACAACAGAATTAGTCTCAGCCTGGTTAACAAAATTCAATGTCACTTGATAACCCATATTTAAGCGTGACTGTAGTATAACACCAAAAGACTGGGTACATTTCGCGCCTTTTTTTCTTTAAATTATTTCCCGATTACCTTTGTCGTCATAGATTGACCGTATCAATATATATCATAAGAACATACGAAATTTAACTAATCGCGAATTTTACCCAGTCTACATATTAATAAGCGAAACAAAGCGTTTGTATAAGGTCTTGCATTATTAGTGATACTGTAATTAAAGGTCACTTGACTGCTTACACCTGAGCCGATCTAAAACAAAGAGAAAAATGTCTTAATACATATTTTATATATATATCGTTAATCTAATTAGCTTTTTAATTAACTCTAAGTTCTTGAAATATTGAAAAGCTGTATGCTCATATATATGCCCCCCCCAGCACCGGTGTAAGAAGTATTGATTTTTTGTCAATATGTTGACACTACCTTAAAATGATGTGGTTGTTCTTTAGCCTTATTGGTGAAATCAAAACGAGTACGTTTTACCTCTATAAAAATATACTGATATCCCATTGCGTAATTCGGTAGCTTCTTTATAATATACAAAATCCTAAAACGGACCCAAAATCCTCAACCAGAGGGCATTTATTTGAAGGCAGGAAAACCTAACAACTTGTAAAATTGTATTTTAGACATTGACGAGACATACTGTAGGAACAACACTTTAGAAAAATACTCGATTATCTTAATATAAAAATTGAAAAAAAAGTAAATATGTTTATTGATATAAAGACATTTTCAGGACCGGACCATGTATTTCTGACAGAATAAAAATGGTTTATTTAAGTTCGGTGCCCTCTGGGTGCCCTACTGGTGTGACTGGATTGTGCCGAGGGCTGCGTTCTGTGAACGTCGCCATGTCCAGCTGATCTTTCACTTTCATTTTTCTTTATATATTAACTGGTGTTTTCATGTATTAGTAACAGCTCAGAGATTGAACTATTCTAAAGGAAGGACAGGGTTTTGAGAATCTTGTGTAGAATTTCTATCAGAGTGCAAACTTTACATACGGCACTTGAATCCTACAAAAATCATGTGAATAAGCATAATAATAAAACAATTGTTGATATGTGTCCTTATTCTTGGTAACGTCTCACTTAATCTATATAAAAACATCAAACCTGCCTCTGAAAATTCAAAATGAAATCAATCAATTCGGCTTGAACCACATAAATGTTTAGGGAGTAATATATCTTTAATTTGTTTCGCATTTCCATAATTTTCCTAATGGTAATATCTACAGTGATACTGACTTGATAAGAGCATGCTTGAGTTGCCCCGAATCCGTTATACATTACGGGTATTACCCGGCCTACTGCTATTGTGTTGTCCCGAATCCGATATACAATACGGGAATAGCCCTGCCCATTGCTATAATACTGGAGTTTGTTGTAACTTTCAAATGGATCGAAATGAGGTAGTGTATGTATTTACTCAGATTGAATTGGTCTTTTATGAAACAGGGGACCAGATTATATAAAATAAGCATGGCTTATGAATTCGTTTGGATTCTTTTTTTGAATCAGTGCATTCTCTTCAATTGTAACTAATAACGGACAACCATTGAAACCCATGGCGTAGAAGTTCTATGAAGCAACTCAAAATAACCATATTTAAACAGGTACAGTTACTGTGGACCTAATGATTTTGTATTCCATAAAACAAAGCGGAAAATGATTGAACCCTAAAAACTCGTTTATTACAAAATTATACACTTTGTTGGTATCATATTATTCTTATGCAGTTGTTGACCCCTCCTTAGCACCGGTTAAGTCATCGTAACAGTATAGACGCAACAAACTCCAGTTATTTTAATCTTATAATACTATGCAAGCTTATCTGTTTATTTCTTACCTTGCTGATATGCTTATTATATTATAAAATAAATATAACTCAATCGAATGATAATTGAAATAAAAAAAATAAAGGTTTCATATTTATCCAAAATTGTCATAAATTAATTTCAAATATTACCGTTTAAAAACTAATTGATAGGTTTGAACTGATTAAATTGATGTACTCTGATTCCATGTGATTATACACAAGACAACTATTAAATTAAATTTAAAAGGTATATCATAGTTTTGTTTGATTAAAATGAATGGTAAAGTAGTTTTGCTTTTTAGATATGTTTTTTTTTCTTTTACAATTTTAACAAAACACTTTGTGTTTCCTATTTCATATTTATAGATCTGAAATTCAACCTGTTTAAACGTTTCAAACAATGTCACACTTAAAGAACTTATTTAAAAGGTTGACAATACCATCACTAATGATCCAGAAAAAAATATGATATTGAAACAAATCTTGGTTATTAAACAATCATAATATTACTGTATAAAAGGTTCAATGCATATATGGAATTATATATTTTATATTTAAATATAAGTATTTCTGTTATATATATGTTTCAATGTATGATGAGGATCGCTTTATGACATTTAAAAAACCTCGTTATACCAATTTATAAAAAAAAATAAACAACGATATTAAAAGCTGAACAATGTGGGAAGTGAATAAAACAGACTTACAATAAAAAAAAGTACAGATTACAATTAAACTTTTATGGAATAGAAGTTTTAAATGAGAAAGAATGCCACTGAAAAACTTACGCATATTGCTGCAAGTATTACAACAATGATCAGACATCTAGAAGACAATATAAAGTTTGACAAAAAAGCGTTTCTAGCAACTTAGTTATAGATTGTAGCGCACATAGTTCCGCTAGTAAGTCAAGTAAGCTACCCATGTAAAAAGGTAAAATTTTTTCGCATGATTAATGCGGATTAATGCAGAGCTGTTAATTTTTGAAATTGGACACGCCCTAGAGAGCAATAGCAACATCAAATAAAATGATTTTTAATTGTAAAAGGAATAGAAACCGACTTGGTTTGACTGGATCACTTCGTAACATCTATACACAAACATATTTATGCCTTCAAAGAAACTTAATATTCTCATTATTGACCAAATCAACTATTATTCTATTATATGGATTATATTTAGAACTTATAGTTTATATAACAAAATCAGAATTCGAAACCCTTTAATTATCGCAGCCAGGTAGCTTACTTTCGGGAGACTGTAATTCTGTTATGTCCCTTCAAATTCAGCTAGAGCTTGTCTTTGATCATTGAAAATTAACTTTTTTTGTTACATTTTTATACTGCTTATTTACCCCTTTATAGATGTTCGAAGCCCTCAGTGGCAATCCTTCAGAAGTAAATGTACATGTATACTAAAACCTCAGGCCGGGACAAGGGGAAGTGAACTTGTGAAACCGCATAGAGAGTTATATAAAATGCAGATCCGTGATATGAAAAATGAACACCCTGTTTTAACATTTTTATATATAATAAATGTACCTTAAGCACATTGAGTAGCATATGAGTGAATAAAAATACGCGGGTAGCTTACTTTCAAAGCGAAAACTGTAAACTAGTTGTAATAAACTTAGAGGACTTACGTGAAAAAGAAGGCAACGAGGGCACAAATAACTACGGTGGCATCTAGGATGTTCCATGGGTCTCGACAGTATGCTCTTGGGTGAAGAATGATACCTAGGTCAACAATCTGTTACGGAAACACAACATACATTTAAAAAATCCAAAAACAATATGTAGTAAAGGGAGATCACTCGAAAGAAATGTAAACAAAAAGTCATACTTTAAAAAAACACAGACGCCGTTTAACCGTCTGTTGTTGAAAGATAAGTGAAAATGCTACATCTTTTACACTCCTTAACACTTGCTTAAGTGGTTTTCAATTTTCAAATGCACAAGATTTGGAGTCAATGAGCTATAAGTATCAGAAAAATTAAATACAGTATGAAGTACTTAATATTAATCACCTCGTTTTACAGTATACTGAGATTTTGGTGGATAAGAGAACTTATAGTTAAAGCGGAAATTAAAATCTTTAAAAGCAGTTTGACATGTATTTAACAAACAGATACTCGGAACAAAAAACATGGGATAATGATAAGGTGATAGGTTAATTTAGACACTTTTGAAGACAAACGTATTGAAGCTACTGTATCTTCCAAATGTGAAATACACAAATGTACACAGTAAAATTAAAAGGACTGTACCTTCAAAACGAATCAAAGAACTTGAATGTACTTTTCGCATTATGAAAAAGGCAACTTATCATTAGTTTACACTCAAGCAACCAATTTCCATGGGGGAAATCTCAAAGTGAAGTAATTCGCGGTAACTTTTAATGCTAGGCTACAGTACTGACCACGTGACTTAACTGCAGCAGACTGTTTATAGAGGATTTATTTATTCTTGAAACTATTATTACGACTGTTGTTGTATTTTCCCTTAAGCTCTCACATTTTTTCAGCATTTTTACGAAACGACATTCAAGACATTGATAAGTTTCTATACATTGATTAGGGCTTTTTTGTCTGATTTACATAAACATCGCCGAACTATACTTTTACGCGTATGCATGGATATTGTATGTAGGTATTGGGCATATACAATTTGAAAAGACGAACATGAAGGCGTTATCATCTTCCAAAAATAATGTACCTTCAAAATAAGTTCTATCGTGAACACGCCAGTAAAAACGTAATCAAAGTAGTTCAGTATTTTATTATGTTCTGATTGTTCGTCAACTGGATCTTCGGCTGCTAGAGCTATACTACTTGCACTGATGACCACCATGATGAACAGGTCAAAGTAACGCAGGTTCACAACAAAATGACAGAATCGACGTATTCTGAAAACAAAATTTAATAAAAAAAAGACAGAGAATTACTTGATTTGCAATTTAAGCCTAAGAATACATATCTTAAAGTGGGGAAAAAACGGGTAGATCTTTAACTCGTGGAATTTTGTTGTCAAATGTTAAAAGATGCTGAATATGATGGTAAAGATAAAATTGTTCTAAATTTTACTAATTACAATCATTGAACTAAGCTTGCATCATGTTATCTTACTTATATTTCAAGCTAAGATTTATTTTGTTTTCATTGAACATGTACATGTATATATTCCAAGCATGGGTCTTAACTGTTCTGACATTTTGATGTTAAATTGAAAATTGATTATACTTACGGATTTGTAGGCCCAAAAATAAACATAGAACTGTATGGTAACATAGGTTTTGGTTGGCCAAATCCTGGTTCATCTTGGCTCGTATTAGTGTTTTGTCTTGGCAAGTCAATACTGCTACTTCTCACTGATTCATCTGTGAAATAAAGAGCTTTATACGGTGTCCTGCTGGGGACCTTTTTATTTTTATTAGATTAAGAAGCAGGTTTAAAGAGCTTTATACTGTGTCCTGTTGGGGACCTTTTTATTTTTATTAGATTAAGAAGCAAGTATAAAGAGCTTTATACTGTGTCCTGTTGGGGACCTTTTTATTTTTATTAGATTAAGAAGCAAGTATAAAGAGCTTTATACGGTGTCCTGCTGGGAACCTTTTTATTTTTATTAGATTAAGAAGCAAGTATAAAGAGCTTTATACTGTGTCCTGTTGGGGACCTTTTTATTTTTATTAGATTAAGAAGCAAGTATAAAGAGCTTTATACGGTGTCCTGCTGGGAACCTTTTTATTTTTATTAGATTAAGAAGCAAGTATAAAGAGCTTTATACTGTGTCCTGTTGGGGACCTTTTTATTTTTATTAGATTAAGAAGCAAGTATAAAGAGCTTTATACGGTGTCCTGCTGGGAACCTTTTTATTTTTATTAGATTAAGAAGCAAGTATAAAGAGCTTTATACTGTGTCCTGTTGGGGACCTTTTCATTTTTATTAGATTAAGAAGCAAATATAAAGAGCTTGATACTGTGTCCTGCTGGGGACCTTTTCATTTTTATTAGATTAAGAAGCAAATATAAAGAGCTTGATACGGTGTCATGCCAGAGACCTTTTCATTTTAAAAGATGAAGTAGTAAGAATAAAACCAAAATTTCGCGTGCTCTTTCGGAGAGCTTTGGCTATAGGTAACTGTACTTGGAGAATGAACCAAAGATCTCCGAATGAGACGCACGATAAATAGAGTGCCTGAAGTTTATTTGAAGTTAAACTTGCGACAATTTATACAGTAAACTAAGCTTAAATTTGACCGCCAAAATGTTAAATCTCTCTAAAATAAAACTGGAGGCGAAAGAGACTTAGTGATAATCTGTATAAAAGTGACATCTATTTGCCTCAAACAAAGCATCCTATTCAAAAACCTGTATATTACTTTACCGGCTGATCTTGGTCTGCACTGGCCGCATGCATAGGTCTAACCACTAAAATCCTATTGGACTAAAGTAATGTGCATGTTGAGCGTGACCAAAAGACATTTCATTTTTGCAAAATACATGTATATTCACAGCAATTAACAAATGAACATAAAAATCATATATTGCTACTTTTGTAACATATGGTTCCGCTGGTTTGACCTTTCTCAGGTCATTCTTAAATACCAAAGTAACAAATAAAGGGCGTGGCTTTTTCGGAAATTAATACGCACCGTCTCGGTTTCTGTTTGGTATAGCACCACTGCGCATTGTCACTGTTACTTCTTTGTTGAGGTTATCTTTTAGATTGTTCTGACTTAGATTAGTGTCGTGCTTGGCGTTACTGAAAGATATACTGTAAGTGAAACAATATCTCAGTAATAATTCATAAATTACAACAACAAATATATATGTTAGTGACCTACAATGTAATCAGTGTTAAGAATGGGTCCATAGGGAGTATTCGTATATATTTAGAATCTTAGGGCTAATTTTTGTTGGTCGGGTTGTTTTACCTCGTAACAACACAGTATCAGACTTTCTAGCTTTTACTGGTGGAGAAACATCAGGGGCTCTCCCGTGCACTTTTCAGAACGGGCAACTGAATACAACAACGTTTCGTAAGCTAGCTGGATAGCCTCCTCACAAGAAAGAATACATGGTCCATGTCGGGGTTCTAACCGCAAGTGGTTTGAAGTGAACAACCTTAACTACTTAATGTTTTACTAATTGATTAAGAGCATGAAAGATGCTTAGCACTTGACGAAATCAGCATTGAATATAAAAAAAAAACAGAAAAAAAACAAACTTTTGTAAGTCAAAAGATAAACTTGTATTTATTGATTTGTTTTTGTTTCCCCAAGATTGATACATAAAATACAACTTAAATAATTATATATTAACGTGTATTATAGCTTTTGTATAAGTTTTTTAAAATTACTAAAACTTATGTGACTGATAGATGTTACTTTTTTAGAGTTATTGCATGATGATAATATGATTTTACACAGAAATCTAAGCACTTACTATGCAAAGGTTCCGATTTTCGTCTCATCATTATTTTGTGGAGACGGAGGGCAGATGTTTATAGGTGGTGGACCCCCACCGGGTTGTGTACCAAAATGATTTTCCATTGCCTTGCCAATCTCGTCCATGCGCTACAAATTTCATACACAGAAATTAAAAAAAATGTATATGACAATAACAAAATAAAATAAATAAAAACATATGCATATAGCATCTAAAATATACACAAAATAATTAAAATTACACAAAGAAAGAGATAGTTCTTCTTAAAAATATTATTATCTAATACATCTAAAATCTTTGCTACTGCAAAGCCTGGAGAATTTCGGTCTTTTAGTGCACATATGAATTCCAGCAAGATTTAATTGGAAAGGATACAAAATGATTTCCAAGTGCTACTTTTATAGTTAAGCCAAAGAAAGCTGATTTGTGATGTTGGATTATACTGTATATTAGTCACAACTAGTGACTGTTTGTTTCGATTTTGGTGGGTTTTAATAATACAGGCACAGTAAAGGTCATATGGCGACTTTCCAGCTTTATTGGTGGAGGAGGACTTCAGAACCACTGATTTCATATTCATGGAATTAATCATGAACATAATGATAAAACAGCAATTTTCAAAACTTCTTGAAGATTCGGAACTATCACAGTTATTATAGGGTAGGTGAAATGGTATATGACTCCGGAATTGTAGTCCTGAACAAGAAGAAAATTACAGTTCATTGCGACATGTAATAAGCAAGTGTATTTTCTATCAAAGTATTAATATCTCATTTTAAATGTTATTAAAAATGAGTTCAATTATGAAGGTTTGCATAAGATAAAATGCAAGATTTATATATATTATCATTTATTTTGTTTTTGGAAAGCTTTATCAATACATTTTTAAATGTATTTTATTTTTACAAAGATTTTCAGAATAAATTTTCACAAAAGTATAAATTTTATATTGATCTCAAGAAAATAATACTTTCAACTGCCAATCATTATTATACTTAGATCTACAAGAAGAATTTTTTAATGTTAATTTAAGTTGGAAAAAGTCCACTTAATTAAAACTTTATTGTTTTTTTTAAGTTACATAATTATATATTTTACAATACCTAAAGTCAACATTACAACGACAATGCATTAAGGAGAAGCACTAAACAACAATTCATATTATATCTTGTAGTAGTGAATATGAATCAAGCTGAACCTTGCACGATTTTACCACATGTGACGTCATCGCTACAAAATGTGACGTCATAGACACCGCGTTTCTTTATATATCTATAATACTAAGAATCAATGTTTGATACAATTGAGAAAATCTATTTCATTGATTCAACATAGATCTCTAGTCTACTGTAGATCTATTTAAAATTTGCCGAATAGTATTTGTTTATTTTTAAATCAAGTTTGTTTTTTATTTTAATAATGGTAGATCTAAACCGCCAGCTCAGATCTGCTTGATTCATATCGTTTGTAGAATAATAATACAGTATGGAATAACACTAATATTTGACTACAAGCATTTTTGCTCATAAGTGGCGTCTGAACAGCAACAAAATAGCACTCCAAATTGGTACTGTTATAAGAAAAAAAATGTTTTTCTCATTTTTTTTAATTTCTTGACATCAAGTACTAAAATATATTTTCATTAATATTATTCATGTTTTGAACAAAACATAATTTAGTAGCTTCGGTATAACATTTTCTTTTCTAGTTTTTAAAAATCATGTAAATAACATATTTATCAATAACCATTTCACACAGCAGAATTGTTGGCATAGTAGGAATTAGAGTTTTTGCGGTCTTTTAAGCACCGCTTCGAAATCATAATCTAATGGCATTGATAAAAGCTAAATAACTAGCAAGGTGCATTCGAATTTAAACAAACACTAGATGTTGGCCCATAAACATACCCTTACTTTTAGACATGTATCAAAGTATGTGTAATATTGCTTCATCTTTCTTTAATAATTTCTATAAAACTGCTAGTTTTGGAGGTTTTACATATGATTATATCTTATATCATGGAACAGTGTGGTGACAAGTAAAAGGTGTTTCATTTAAAGTCGTGAGCTTATCATCAAAGATGTGTACGTGTGTAACTGTTAAGTTTTCGTATTATTGTAAAGGAAAGAAGACAATTATCTGTGTATGTACATACTGTGTTATACAATGGAATCATTTACGATTCAGCGTTAATATTGTGCTGAGGTCGTTCGGATTATTGAAACGATTAAATGGAAAGTCGTAGCTTCCAAGATCGATTGAACTATTGATTTTTTCTACATATAATTGCATACATTCACCCCAAAAAGCAAACGTTAAACCAAACGACCTAAACAAAATGTATTGACATAAGCATCTGCCCACAGTTTAAAGAATAAAACATTCAAATTTTACTCAAAACATTTTTTTTTTGTTTCTATGTCTTTGAAATGAAAAAGAACGTCCATAATAACAATCTGGGAATTTTGAGAATGTTAAACATATAATTAAAAATAATCATGACCCTTGCATACAGCCAAGAGGTGTTTTGGTTTAAACCTTTAATCTGCTGGGACCACAAAGCGAGCAGTCCTTGCCACCCTTAAAGAGCCAGCTTGGATATCCGCGCATTATGAGAATGCCCTTTACTTCCGGTATCTAAATATTTGTGTCTTGATTGCTCAACTAAAACTTCTTGAATTTAAATGCACTAATTCTAATTCAAAGCAGAGCAATAACATCACATAAACCAAGCGGCTCAAGGTGTAAAGTTTAACATGACCGTTGCCTAAAGCAACGGTGCCCTCATCAATATGTCCTACAAAAAATATTGCAACGAAACCAAGTCAGCCAACCTTGCAAAATAAGAAACTACTTAAATAAATTAACTAAACCTTTCAAATTACTACGCATCAAAAATACACAATTTTCAGTAGTAGTAGTAGTTATTAAAAAAAAAACGCATTAATATAACAAAAATGAATTTTATTTTGGCACTCGAAAAATATATTTAAATTTTTAAACACAAAGAACGTTTACAGACGTTTTATATATAATAAATATAATATAAACAATGAAACAATGGGGCTAGACTGAAAACTGTACGCAGAGAGATGTTAGAGCGGGAAAATGTCATGCAAGATTGAAAGGGTCGTCTGCTTTACCAGATTCATGGACACCGATTCGTTCAACATGCTGATTATCTTCGGAAGAAAAATTAGATGGAAAAATATATTGTAAATCATAGGTCAAATCAGAAAATGAAAACATATTACAAATTTACGTACAGGACAATTAAATTGAAAACTTGGAGAAAAAAATCAATGCGGTAAAAAAAAATTAAGTTCTAAACGTACAAACTTTACGGGATAAAAACATAAAGGGTATAAAGCTATGGATGGCAACAGATGCTTTAAAAATCTTTTTTAGAAAACTGAATAATCAATTTGTTTTATTAGATCCTTTTCCGTTCTCTAAAATTGTTTTTAACAAAACGTGTCTCTGACATAAACGTTGGTTTAAATTATACCCCACCCTCTGCTTTTTTTGATAGTGGTTGTCAACATTAATAACGCGCGTGCGACAGTCGCTTACAACAATATTAACCAAAAAAAGGGCCATTATTTCAACTATGTTGCTATGGTTTGATACTTAACCATTTTTTTCTATTCATAACTCAGTCCAAATATAGCTTTATACCCTTTTAAAGTAAAAAATGTAATAAACTATTATCATACACTGTTTCCAATTTGGTGTATCATCTAGATCAAAAATAATAACTACATATAGTATATGAAAAGGTTAAGGTCACATATAGTGAGTGATTTTTAATCAATTGTGCTTACTGAATAAAACAACATTTTTTTAAAGATCAGCCGTTTACCTCATTTTAAATAATACTGAAAGTGCAGCCAGGGCTTCTCAACGCCGAGACAATACATGTTTCAATTAGGACAAAAGAATTGTGAACAATGACGTCACGTGTGACGTAAATATTTACCTCTTCGCGTGCAACCTCGGAATCTTCCTCATCGGCGGTTAACTCTTGTGCATTGGCTAAATTGTCAACAGCAATAGCCAAGAATACATTCAGCAGTGTGTCTGACAATTTAGTCAAGGAATATAAATACAAAATATATGAACGGTATAGTTTTTTCCAAAAAAAGTTAAATCACAGTCGGGTGGTACAGATGCTGACACCCATCATTTGCCCTCATGTTCAGTTGTTCACCTATAGATTAAGTAGATCTACAAATTGATTAACCTGCTGATTTAAGCGTCTCTTTTCAAGTCGTAACTAAACATATACTAGAATACATAATATAATAATAAAGGGTTTTTTTTTTCGGATGTGAAAACATCAAAATCTTTTATCAAGGCATATTTCATTCGGATCTTCTAGATCTAGATTTACGTGTAAAATGGCATATTTATTTCCAAAGTGTTAAAAGTATTAAAGTATAGATATCAATACAAATTGTAACAAGAATAAAGGATACAGTTGCCAAAGACAACGAGAATGATAAAATATGACGAGAACAACATGCCGTAACCCTCTATACCACCGCCTGATCGTATACCCGAATACATGACTTCATTCCAGTCTTCTCCAGTCAATATCTGTATATAAGATACAATATTTATGTTTTTAATGAATTTTATTCTGTATGAAAGCTTTATAGTAAGACATTTAAAACGCTATGACATAACGGATGACGCTCGTTAACATGCCCAATACATTTTTTCTATTTCTTTTTGCCATATTGGACTTAAAGCTACAATTATGCTGAAGCATAAAATATGTATGAACAAACAAAAAATTGTTCTTACAAATATTTTTGTCAGACTGCGCATCCTTCCAAAAGATGGAATATGTAGAGTCGGGTAACTTAATACTAATACGGGTAACTTTTCATTAGAAAATGTCTTGAAAATCTTAATAATAGTAATACCATTAAATCCACTTAGTATGTTTAAAAGAGGTGAGGAATGCTCTACAACTTTAAAAAGTATGGTTTATATAGTTTTATATCGGATATTTGTAGTTGTGTTAAAGTTATACTGGTTGTTTTCATCTACCATTTGTATTAATGTAGTTATATAGATCTAAAGGGTTTAATTGTTGACGTCATTTATGACGTCACTTACCTGGAATACCGTCAGCAGAGCAATAGGGAATGTATCGAAGTGGGAAGCGGGACGCCCTTCCTCAAAGTTCATTCTACAAACAAACAAACAGACGATGAAAGACTAAGTATATAACACATTCAATATTTAATCATTACAGGTTGCATTGTTTACATTTATAATGAGATTTTCTAAAAATTCGAAGAATATCTAGCTTAACTCAGAGCATGCTAATTATTTACATTAATATATAATTATGTATTTAATTTTCCTGACATTAGATATGCTACAAACTGAATATGCTTTGGACATATTTTTTTGTTTGTTTTTGATTGTATATCTATATCTAATTTATATCAAGACTATTACGTAATGGCGTCAGACTGCTTTAAAATTTTAAAATGACATTTTCTGCATTAAAAGTGTCATATTTGTCATGCATCAAGAAAATATATAAAGATTATGATATATTGAACAACTAGAATGATTTATTTATTTTTTCATTTTTTTGTGTTATTCGAAGTCATTTTTATATTTTGACAACTTTTTCATGTTCGGAAAGGTTTTATTGTTATTGATACATTAAAATCCATCACGTTAAGATTAAAAGCGGATTGGTCTAGAATGGAATGGGCACATTTTTCGGAAGTATTTCAAATACTGACAAAAATCAATAGAAATGTATCATTTGTATATTTCTTATAAAATATTACTAGAAACAAAATTGTTGATAAAATTCCTAAAAGTGATTCAGCGGGAACATTGGAACATTTATATGATAAAAAATAGCATTTTGTTAAAGACCAATTAGTTAACTGCTTTATAAATATATGCAATTTCGGATCATGTATCTCACACTTGCCAACAATATTCATTTATATAATTATTTCGTTGTTTGTTATTATGTCTGATACTAAATACTATCAACGTAATTATGCATTGTATTTCAGACCTTCCATTATCGAGCAATTCACTTTAAAATTGACCATTTACAATATGAATAATTATTCACTTACTCTCCTCCGAATAACTGCATCCCGAGTAAGGCAAATATGAGGATGAATAAGAAGAGTAGGAATAAGAGACTGATGATTGACCTCATCGAATGTAACAACGAGATTACTAGATTACGTAACGATGACCAATATCTGAAAACGAAATATAACAATAAACGTTAATATGAAACGTTAATTTTATAAACCGAGATCACAACATTATGAAACGATGACCAATATTGAGTATATAAAAGTAATTAATAATATACCCTTGATTAGATTATTAGAGTGCTGATAAACTGGTAAATACATGAATCGTAGAAAAATCAAAGCACTGCAAGTACAGTCGACTCTCGTTATCTCAAATTCGTCAGAAACGTAAAAGAACTTCGAGATAACGCAATGTCGAGTTAAACGAATTTCGGTTTAAACAGGGCAAAAACTAATTATTAAAAAAGGCATGTGTTTACAATTTTTACGTAAAATAAATACGATGTCTCCTTGTCTTGTTTTCTAGAAGCTAATGTTGCAAAGTAAATATCTGTTAAATTAGCAGATGTGTACCAGGGGAAATAAGGCAGTACTGAAAGGCCGCATTGGACGAATAAATACATGCGACATTCGCCAATTGTAAAAAAACATATCAAATTGCAACTTTTAATTATCCCAGTATTTAGCTCGTGTATAAAAGCCAAGGGTAAATACTAAATATTTAAGGTACTAATAACTATATTAATTATATTTTCATATCAATTTGATTAATATAAATTTTGTAATTGTTTTGTAATCGTTATCTATGTTGGTAAATGAAACAGCAACATTTCTGAGGATACTGCAACTATATTATTTGTGATGGGCAAGAATTGGGATGGTTAGAATAATCATTGTATTTAAATTTGTCAATCATTCGTCAGAGATGGTCCTCTTTGTCTGCGATCATCAAATACATTTTTTATTTAAATATACTCAGGAATCGTTACATTCCGAAATACATTCTGGTATACAATACAATCACATCTACTTACGTCTAATATACAATACACTGACACACATACCTTGTGACCTTGAATATTCTGAGCAGTCGTAGAGCACGAAGGGTACTAATACCAAACGATGCACCCTCTTTAAACTCTGACCATATAACTTCAAATATACTTCCAACAATTACCTAAAGGAATAGATTTTTACAGCTTTAATACTTGTAATAAAGTTACTAAAACACTTATGATGAAAATATACGACGGGACAAACATGAAAAGTATTTTTCTTCATACTAACATTTTGTCAACTCTTTCCTTATTAAACATTGCATCCCAAGAATTAAGACGTCCGCGTTTTATAAACTTTGTAAGTCTTAATTTGTGATATCACTTTTTTCGTTTAGTCTTAAACCATGGAATATGGATACGAGTATATGTATAAACATTTAATACCTTATTAAAACATGGTATATATGTACAAATCATTGGATATCTTAGTAAAACATAGGGTATATTTATAAGAAATTGATATCCTGATAAACTATGGAATATCTGTTTCAACCACTGTATATCCAAACAAACGTCGTATGAACAATATCAATGACTTACTTAATACAAAATCCAAAATGCAGTCTTAAAACTTCCCTAATAATTATTTTTAAATACTTACAGCACAGTCAAATATATATATATATATATCTGCGGTATCAACATTTTTTAATCATGTATTAGATAATTTATTAGATAATATATTAGATTATCTATAAGTCAAAAAGCCCATTGCAATATCAAAATATAACTTATATTTGTATTTTAATATACTCACAACACAGTCAAATATATTAAACGAAGACTGGAAATAGATACGAACACCGAGACCATACATTTTGATAATCATCTCCATCATAAAAAGACCCAGAAATAAAAATTCTGTAATGTCTGAAAGAATAGAAAGCATTTTGGATTAACAATCTACCAGTCGGTGTATGGGTCTATTATTTATTAATATATTAACTTATTAAGCTGGTAAAAGTAAGTCACTTATACCCATACACGCTTTATGTATAAAACCCCCTCCCAAAACAACAACAAAAAACACCCCGCTTGTTTTAATTTAAACAATCGAGATTATAGATATAAGATATATGCATAATATACATATATACATAAAGAATAACTTGTATATACAACATTTCAAATAAACTGTGTGAAGTAATGTATCTTTATTTCGTTTTTTTATAAATTGAAAATCCTCGGATTCATCGTTTTGAATTGAGAGGAAATAATCCAAATCGGATAGTTTTACCGATCATTTGAATAGCAGCATTTTTTCTCGTGAATAATTTTACAATTTTAATAAATACAAAGAAAAAAGGGCAGATCTATAATATCAAAAAATAAGCATAAATCAATTGCTTTATTTTTAAGCTTCAAAACATGTTTAATACTTACATAAAAATTGTGTATGCCACTGCGGTTGACCGTAGTGTTCTGAGGCCACGGAAAGGGTGTTTAAAAGAACGAGAATTATCACAGTCCAATAAAATGCTTGACTTTTGATTGCCCGACGAACAGCATATCTGAAAATCGTACAACAATTTCATGATATTAAAACATATATTTAATGAAACTATAGAATATTAAGTGTACCCATTGCATTCTAATTAAAGAAATATTCATCATTAGTCTAAAATGTATTCATTTTAATTCGGCTTCGATGAAAACATTACGCTTATTGACCGACTTTTGAGTTGGCTTCTTTGAATAAAAACCAATATTGGTTTCATGTAACAAAGGCTAAAATATAAAATAGGAAAAGTATCATTAGTATCTTCAAGTTTAAACCTTATAAAACTCTTAGAATTTCCATATCAGCAATGCATTTGGACATTACAAATCACCAAGTCAGAGGTATTATCAATTTGCTTAGTAAGTATACACATATATTGGTTGAGAAGCAACCATAATAATATGTTACCTTAATCGTTTTTCTGCCTTCCAAAATGCGGCATATTTCCCTGTATTCTTCTTTCCACGGAAATTCTTGCCAAGGGCGTTTCCTTAAAGATTGAAAATAAGATACTTTATTATGAAACATGCATTCTAATAGTAATATGTTTGTTCAAATGATTATATCTCTAATATTTTTGGAATAAGTGATTAGCTTACTGACGAATAAAAATATCGCTGCCATTTCACTGTCCGCCTGTCCACTGACCTTTAGCAATATGCCAACAATTATGTACATATTCAGATATTCTAGATATCAAACAAATCACCAATATCTCTTGTGTATTTATCAAGATTGAAATCTTCTTGTTATTAAGCTAATCATGTACTTTCATCTAACTAGGCTTTATCTTGATTTTCCTTTAGTTAAGCAACATGAGGTAGCTACATTACGAGCTTCAATGAAATGACATAAAATGTGATTTGAAGAATTTCTAGGAATGATAAGGATAACAACAAATCGAATCCTCGAATGGCCAATAGTATCAACCCAGATACAAACTGATGAATTAGCCAATCACGTACAATGTTACAAAGACAAAATAATCTAACCAACCACAAACATTGTTACATAACAAATTTTCCATTTTTGACGAATTAACCAATCACGTACAATATTTCATACCGATATCTAAATTTACTTATGAATTAACCAATCATGTATAATGTAACAAGATTTAACTTTATGTCAACTGATAATCTAACCAATCAAATGTCACGTAATTTGTCTATATATAAATTTACAAGTAATCAACCCATACAGTAATCTGTAGCTAGGTTGTTTGAAATGATCATTTCTAATTAAAGTAACATCATGTCCATTTTTTCGTTGTCAAATTGACCTAAAACAGATGTAATTTCAAAAAATTGACTACTATGAATTAGTAATATGAAAGGGTGAGGATGAAATATAAAAATTTGACTGAAATATAGAAAGACTGTCCCACTCTTTTTTTATTAATTGAACGTTAGATACAGTATAAAGGAGACGAGTATTTATTGAATTTTCCATCAGTCACGTGGATTACTGCCCATTTTTGCATAGTAGAATTCAAAATTAAAAGCAACGATGGCAAAATGTAATTTTAATAATATTTACTTTTACATGGTGTACAACCAATACGGACATAATGTCACTTTAATGTTATCAATTGTATGCGTAGACTAACCTATATTCGTAGACTTACACCTATATTCGTTGTGACTTACCTATATTTAAATCTCCTAGTAAATCATCATCATTATTATCATCATTATCGTCGTCGTTGTATTTTCCGTCCTGCAATTGTTTCATCTTTCTAGCCGCCGCCCGCCGCCGAGCTTTACAAAGATGCAAACATTCATGTCAAATAAAAAGTCACAACCTCACCTTAATATACCTAAACTGCCTAAGCAGTAGAAACTGTCTTTTTTCAACTTGTCATTTTACTTCAAAGAAGATACAACGCACGAGTAATTTGGTAAACAATACCTTAGCAGTACTGAGTAGAATAAATTGCCATAAACTGTTTTAAGTTGTCAATTTTACTTCAAAGTTGACACAACGCACTAATAATTTAGTAAACATATCTATGTAAAAAGTATTTAGATTAAGAAACTCATGAACAAGTGAATGGTTGCCAGCAAAACTGCTGTAACTGTGATATTTACCCCCCAAAAAACAAGTAGTTACATCAGTTATGCTAGCAACATTAAAACATCGCTTATTACTATTTACAGGAGTTGTGTGGTAAATGTTAAAGAATTTCATAAACAAATTCCAACCAGCTTCTAACAAAATACTTTTATATGTTAAATAATAATTAACATGACAGGTATATATCGAGAGACTAATGTAAACTTTGTTTATCATCTACCATCAACATATCATGTCATTTATGTTGTGTAACACTTATAGAGATAATATACATGTACATCAATAATATGTGCGTGTTAGATATTTTTGACATATCAATAATTAACCAATCGACAACTAACTTCAAACACAAATTCGTTCGCATCCAATTCACTCAGAAAAAGATTTCACTGGAAAAAAATGCATCTCCCAACACGCATATTCACTTGGGATAAGATACTCATAAATTATAAAAGTGAGCACTGAAACGCAAAATTAAAGACGTGAACACAATAAAGACATAACAGTCCCATCTAAGCTTGAAATGCCTGGAATATAGCATATTATTGCAATAAACGACAACTAGTTGTTGTTGTTACTGCTGCTGCTACAGTTGTTATTTGTATTTAACCATGACATTTAATTAATATGTATTAAGTGTCAAGGTAAATGCACAGTAGTTTTGACATTTTTTTTCCTTCAAATGTTCGCCTTTGTTTCGGTAAGTCTTTTTAGAAGCTAGTTATTATTTCGAGTTTTTTTATTTCATTGCAGAATTTCTTACACGAATGATACAATAAATTAAACAATGTCACATCTAAAATTAACCATTAAGATCTCGCATTCCAAGCATTTCGTATTACATATATACCATGTGATTCAGCAAAAGTGTTATTTTGTGGACTACTTTTCGGAATTAATAACTCCATTTTTAGAATTAAAAGACATGGATGAATATATGTATGTATATACTACAAATAAGTTCGCCTAACTTCAGAAATACCCAAATCAATCATATAAACCGTGACCTAAATAATTGCATGTTAAGAATGAAAAGACATAGATAAATATATGTATGTATGTACTACAAATAAGGTCGCCTAACTTCAGAAATACCCAAATCAATCTTATAAACCGCGGCCTAAATAATAGGAAAGCAAAAGAATAGCATCTGTAGCTTGCTAGCGAATCTTGTATTAAAATTCTTACCAGTGAACGTACATTTTGCATAGATGTCAAGAAGTAATTTGTTGATGAAAATAACAAATGTTCGGGTACAAATGTATATAAATTATGCGCTCTTCACTAACATACATGTGTTGTTCACATTAAATTTTTAAAGACCCATTGAGCCTCAGAATTGATATTTTATCGTGTTTTTTATCCAAAATCATTTTGTGTCTTTCAGTTTCTAAAATGTTACACATTGGCCATAAAGGCTAACCGTTGTTTAGGCGATAAGCATCTAACATTCTTTAAATCCATCTAAAGATAAGTTGGCTTTCTTTCTGAAGAAGAAAGCAAAATATACATTTCTGAGGCTAAAAGTGCCTTCAAAACTGTAGTTCAACTTTTTATGTTACATGTATATAATTATATTCACTTCAACTGCTTGAAAATAACCCGATGATGTTTAAGAAAAGATGAGCTTCTTTTTTTAAGACTGTCCATCATAAATTTTGGGATATTAAGATGAACTGATTTGGTCAGTCAATTGCACAGAGCTTGGCAGGACTGCACGGACGTGAAGTCTAGGCACTTTCGGAACCACAAGGGCAAAAGGTTAATATGGATGTTCTCATACACGCATAATTGTGTACGGACAGGCTTCTGGTCCCGAACAATTTCTCTTCATATAAAATTGAAATGGTTTATTTTTGCTAAATTATAAGGCTGTAATAACGATGAACTTCATAAGTACAATATATGATATATAATTGACTAATTGCTCTAAACTATAGCTGTAGTAGAAAGGACTGAATTGTGTAATGAGAAATTTTCTGCCGCCTGAAAAATAGTACCCTCTATTTTAATTGATAAAAGCAAATTTTCTACTAGACTTTAAGCATATAATCAATTAATTTGTCAATTAATACCAAAAGTATTTGACAATTCATGTAAATAATGCACATTTTTCTTTTTCAAAAAGTAATAAAATTTGATTTTTTTTGGCAGCTGTCCACAAAACAACAATTTTACAAAAATCCAGACACTGCTTTGCAGCATCTCTTTTGAGCGAATATTTAGTTATAATAATCTTCTCTTAAACCACAAAACAAAAAAATTGTGTTTCGTTTTTAGCGGAGTGTATGAAACAAAAAACTTGCATATTATCTTCTTTTTTTTAATTGCTTTTAGGGAGATGGTCGCTCAAAAGAGATGGTCGTTCAACGGGAATTATATCATACCTTCGTCTTCCTCGAGCTCTTTCTTTAATTTAGCTAATTAAACAAAGCGTCGTGTTATATTAATTAAGAAATCGCTTGTAAAGTAAGACTTGTAGTTAATAACGCCCTTGCTATTCTACCATCCAAATGTATACCAAAAATTTGGGTGATTACTTTTTTTTCTTCATTTTTTTTTTTTTTTTTTTTTTTTTGACAATTTACAGGAACGGCGTTCTCAATGCCCAAAATATATACGGCGGTAATTGTTCACAAAAGCGCTAATGCATACAAAACAGTCTTACAATCTCTATCTACACAATATCAGCGAAGGAGAAAAAAAACATATATATATATATATATATACAGTATATACATATAATTGAAACTGTAGCCGGTATAGTCAGATGCAAATATTCCAAGACATTGACGTCATTCATACGTCATTGTCGCTGCATTTCTATCTCCAGTATAGATCTAGTTTTAAGATCTTTGCATTAATTGATGAGGAATCTTAAGTCAAGAAATAATCGCGTTTTAACAATACATAAAATATATTTTTAAAAACACGTTTTACTTGATTTCTTAAAAATTTTAAGAACAAAGGAATTTGGCATGTAATAATATATTTATTTATTTATTATTTCATCAAAAGTAATCCAACTCAGCATCTTCCAATAGAGTCTACAGTTTTTTAATTTTAAATTTTAAATATATCTTGTATAAGCTAAGCTATACAACATGTACAAGAAAAAAAGAGGATTGATTATGAAATATTTGTATATGCAAGCATATAAAAGTTAATGATGTCTTTTTTAATGATGTCACTGAGCCTATTCTTTTGTAATGTAAAAATTTAATCAATTAATGACTTAAATTTTTATCTACACACATTCTTCACGAAAATAAAAGGTTTAAAATATGTTGATAAAACAAATGTTAAGAAAAGCTTACACAAGCATTTATTGTTGACATAGTGAAAACAAAATATCGACTTGAATGACTACTGTCGATTTTCTTTAATCTTAAAGCATCTGGATTATAATATGCTTGGTATTTAACAATTATGTGACAAATTTTGTGTTAATTAAATTATGTTTTTGCCATACACTATTGATTTTATGCCGCTTGACATGGGTATTGTGTTTAACAGTGTGGACAATAGAGTACACATTGCTGAAATATACAGACAATACGGAAAGCACGTGAAGTAATGACGTCACAATCACTATACACTTGCAATAGCGTCTGATTTATAAGGGGTTTCTGGGATATAGTGATATTGAAGTATGGTTTAGCATTTTGATAAATCAAAATTTACCTTCTATTATTTTTATCTTCTCTTCGTCTGTTGTTCTTTCTTCATTTAAAATGACTTCCTCTGCAACAAATTAAAAATACGTTATATGAGAACCCTTGTTATTGCATATCCATATATTAGATCTACTATGTAAATGTAACTTTCGACAATAAAAAACAATCGTTTGTCAACAGTTCATAGCTATCGTTTAAGTCAGTGTACCCTTACCGGATCTATGCTGTTGGGGGTCGCGTCAATTTTGACAAATTAAAGGGGGATACGAAAACATGTTTAAAATGACTTACATATATGTATATAGCCCGTTACATGCAAATGAGATAAAAATCTGAAAGAATAGTGATCTCTCGGAAGCATTAATCACAAAAAATCACGTGAAAATTGCAGAACATTATAAAACGCGTGTTTGTTATGTCTTAAAGAAGTGTCTTTTTTACATTTCTAAGGCGTAATGTGCCTTTAATACACACATTTTAATTGCAGTTCTGACATGCTGCAATAGTTCAATAATGTTCTACGCGTTATCTCGGAGGTTGTTGATTGTCTCCCTTGAATCAGCCTTATTTCTATAAGTTAGGTATTTATGTAAAAAATAGGTTCAGTTTGGGTTCGGATCTTTCCAGTTTTAAGCTGTGAAAAACTTAGTCCCGCTTTTAAAATGTAATGTTAATTCAATTGCTCGCAAACAGTACCACAAACACATCCAGGTTTTCTTTTTTTTTATAAACCAGGTCAGCAAGAGACTAAATATCATACCAGTGTAGTAATTGGATCTAACTGACTAAAGTTCAGATCTACTTATTTCTTAATGCATAGCGTTATTTAGGAGCTGATTTTAATCAGATTGGCAATTGGATAGCCGTTCAGCCATTTTGCATAAAATTGTAACCATAATCGCATAGGACACATCATTGACTTATTTAGTGCTTTACATAAAATGAGAACGCTGAAAACAGTTTTTTTAGTTTTTTATATCTAACATTTTATTACTGTTTTATTTTCTAGATCTTGCCTTGCTTAAGCCAACGTTATTTAAGACATGAAATGTTTGTAAAGTTATAACGTCTAACCTCAGATCATCACGTCTAACCTCAAATTATTATCCCTTACCTCAAATTATAACCTCTAACCTCAAATTATAACCTCTTACCTCAAATTATCATCCCTGACCTCAAATTATCACCCCTAACCTCAAATTATAACCTCTTACCTCAAATTATTATCCCTAACCTCAAATTATCATCCCTGACCTCAAATTATAACCTCTTACCTGAAATTATTATCCCTAACCTCAGATCATCACGTCTAACCTCAAATTATTATCCCTAACCTCAAATTATCATCCCTGACCTCAAATTATAACGTCTTACCTCAAATTATCATCCCTAACCTCAAATTATAACTTCTAACCTCAAATTATCATTCCTGACCTCAAATTATTACCCCTAGCCTCAAAATATCACCCCTAACCTCAGATTATAACCTCTAACCTAAAATTGTTACTCCTGACCTCAAATTATAACCTCTAGCCTTAAATTGTTACTCCTGACCTCAAATTACAACCTCTAACCTCAAATCATTACCCCTGACCTCAAATTTCAACTTCTAACCTCAAATTATTACCCCTGGCCTCAAAGTGTAACCTCTAACCTCAAATTATTACCGCCTATCTCATACTGATAATCTCCGACCTCAAATTATTACCCCTGACCTCAAATAATTACCCCTGACCTCAAATTACAACCTCTGTCCTCTACAAATCGTACCTGCTTTACAAATCCACTCCAGATAACCATTTAGCTCTCTGTCAAGTTGCTGCCTTCGGCGTAATTTGAAAAATGCTCTACGATTTTCTACTCTTTCTCTTTCTTTGGCAAATTCACTGAAGACAGAAATTATTTTATTATAAACGTTTGTCATATATCACAGTATATTTGTAGAGTTTAATATATAAATGTTTTAATTGAAGCGAAAATGTGCGAGTAATTATTATGAATAACTTTTATTTCAAAATATACCAAATATAGGACGTACATTTACATCAATATCTCTATGAATGGAAAAAAATAAATAAATTCCACTTATTGTCAACACGTAATGCAGTTTAAAATGAAACAATATCCAATGGGAATTTAAAAATATTCAATGGAAATTTAGAATTATTCAATGGGATTTAAGAATTATTTAATGGGAATAAAAATATTCAAATGAATTAAGAATTATTCAATGGGAATTAAGAATTATTCAATGGAAAGTAAGTATTCAATGGAAATTAAGAATTATTCAAAGGAAATTTATAATAAATAAATGAGAATTAAGTATTATTCAATGGAAATTAAACATTATTCAATGGGAATAAAGAATAATCTGATGGAAATTTAGAATATTAAGAAACATATTACTGGTAAAAGGTTTTATGAAGTATTAAATGTATCATTACATTTTTACTTTCAAGAGCATTGATTTTATGTCATTTAATTACAATTAACAAATCAAAAGATTTAAATAAGATATAATTAATGCCAACGGTCGAATATCCTTCTAAATGTTTCCTTTTAAGCAGCATGTCCCCACATCTTTATTCAATTTTTATTATTCTATTTGAGAAAAATGTTCTCATGTTCACGAAATATGTGATTTAACGTGAACATCCACGAAATACGTAGATGTTTCTTATTATATAAATATGGGGTTCGTGATAAAAACGGTAATTAATTTCATATTTTGCATAATACATCTGATCAAAGTGACACCTGTAAGGTATATATATTCATACATTAAAATATAAGATTTGATCCTTGAGGATTTATTCAAGTCATCCGAAAACTGTGGCTTCTAAATATAGGTTTGCACCACGGATTTATGTAATATAAATCCGTGGTTTGCACTTATTTTTTTCTGAAACTTTTGATCGCTACACAGAATGGTGCAATCAAATGTGACGTCATAAATGACATTATAAAATAGAATATTTATGGTTCTATATAAATTAATGATTCAGGACTTGTACATGAGCTATTATTATCGATCTACTAGCTCAATACATAAACACGTTAAAAACAATCATTATGAGATATGTTAATCTATTTTTCGAAACTAAAATCAATAGGTTTGTTTTATTCGTTTCTATGGCAATATCGCGTGAATCATGAATCGTCCATTTACGATTCGCCCTTTACATATGGCAATAGGTGCTACTTTACTGATGGTTCGCCTTATATCTATATATCTTTTAATAAATTTTATTCAATTAATGTTAAAATTTTTCTTTTTTTTGTATTATTGTGTACGTCAAGGGCGTTTTTCTACAGTAAATATTTAAAAAAAAATTGAGGTGAGTCAAATTCTGACGTAGTGACTCGCAACTTGCACAAATTGTTTTTTACTTGAACTATTTTTTTTTCTTTACATTCATACGCTGAACAACTTACCCACTGAGAACTCCAAGCACTAAATTGAGCATAAAGAATGACCCAAGAATTATAAGAGGATAGAAATAAATCCAGTTGAAATACTTTCCACACGCATCATTTGTCTGTAAATAAACAACAATTAAATCATTAAAGTAACATATCTTTCATGTATTCGTTTAAGAATGATAACATGTAAATACACAAGAAGTGTTGCATATAATTATTCAGTGATACATAAGAAGAAAATCAATCAAATTTATAAATGCAGTTAAGGACAGCGATGGCCTAGTGGTTAATGTTTCTGCCTCTCAACCCAGGGATCATGGGTTCGAACCCTAATCGGGTCACGACCATGTTTCTTCATATGACACCAGTAGGTATTGGTTTCAAGAAGCGGACTAAAAAGTTATTAATATATATGTTGCAAGACTTTGTTTCGCGATCGAGCTTAAACAAATATGTTCAATCCATATGCACAATTGCTTTCAATTCCTAGAAATAGCTTTATTGTTCAATAAAACTGTGCTATTTGACGTACTGTCATTAAAATAATGAAAACGTAAAGTAGCATGCACACATATGAGAATTTATGGTGCTATGCGTCACTAAAATTTGATATGCACTGCACGACACCGTGCGAACTCGGCATGATACGTAATAAAACAGTTACAGGCAATTGCCTTTAAAGCATTAACAAAATGAAATACCAATTACAGAGGAGGAATTTGTACTGTTTTAAAAGTATCTATGTATACTTTGCTTTTTATAAAAGAATATGAATTTCTCATTAAAGACAGGGTATCTGACAATAGATTATTCCAATCAAGGCAATTCAGTATCAAGTTACATACATAAACATATAGCAAGTTATTCTACCATTCTTAAATGACACACTTGAGCGACTTAACAGGACAATGTAATCAAAACTGTAAAAGGATGTTAAGTGACCATTTTCAGTGTTTATAGCCTGCACACATCTACCATTGAACATTAAATAGCAAATGTCTCTATAACAGTATAGCAAGTGAAAGTGTCTTGGAAACTATGTAAACAACAGACAAACATATACATTAAAAATGCAGACTGCAGTATGATTGAATCTGTTCAAATTATACTTACATTATACAGAATAGTAGTCCATCCTTCCATTGTAAAACATTGAAAAACAGTTAACATTGCATATCCAATATTATCAAAACTAGTAATGCCATAGTTCGGGCCGCGCCAATATGGGCGGCATTCTGAAACGTTTTCTTGGCATCGAAAACCACCTAAATTATATCCACTACCTATGTTTTTAGAACTACAAGGTCTAATGCTATCCTCTTCTCCTACATATATATCATCTGAAATAGAGAATAAGGTAACTCTGTATTTTATACAAATGTCAGTCAAATCAAAGCTAAAGAAAACATTTTTGTGATAAGACCTTAAGAAAAATACTAAAGTTCTTATCGCGCCATAAAATATATTCGTTGACAAACATGATGATAATATGAACTTTTAACCAAAAGGAGGTAGGACAATGTCCACATTTAGGTTTAGAGTTTTAAAATATTATAAATTCAACGAGCTCTTGTATGACTGTGTTTGTGTCTCAACTTCAGATATTTACTGTTCAAATTTCAAACATAAAGCAGTTAGAAGTAAACAGTCTACTACCGAGAAGAGCAACTTCCGCTTTAATTGTTAAGAAGTCATACAGACAAAATATTATTTCAGCTATTACTGATGAAGAGGGAGATAAGGTGTAGCTGTGTGCAAAATTGAAGCCATAAGCGGCTACCGGAGTAGATATTGAATCAGTGGCGGGATTCGAACCTACATTGGGGATACTCTCAAAACAAAGATTTGACAAAATTTCCTACCTTCATCGTTACTATGCTGAGCATCTCGTTTATAGCATGCAAAGTGGAATGCACCATTGTAAATTTCCAACCCTATAATGGCGAACATGATGATAGCGAAGAAAACTAGAAGGCAAACTTGAAGCAGGGGTGCCATAGCCCGTATGATTGACTTCAGTACCACCTGTAAACCTGGTCAACAAAATAATATATTAATATGTACCGTATTTGCCTTCAACCGATCAATGAGAAATGAAAACAAAAATATAGGTAAAAGTTTAATTATAGTAACAAATTCAATTTCAATGGTAATTGAATAAGTTGAAATAAGGTATAAATTTTATTTGACATAGAAGAATGTTGTGTAATAGGTAAAAACGAATAATATGGAAAGAAATTCTAAGGTTTTTTTAATTTTTATATTTAAATATTACTTTAACTTATGACATCATTTTAATATGTACCTATGTACTTTAGAAAACAAAAGAACACTTGTTGGTGTTGGTATAAACTGATAATTTCTTTTTAACATGTTAAAATGTGTTAAAAGCAATCCTTTGAATATATACCACATGAAGCTTGTATATACATTACAAAATCAATATATGATTACTTTGTTTATATAATATATTTGTTCGGCACGTGAATCACGTGCTGAAATCTACAATAAATATATAACCTACTTGGTATACCCGACACCAGTTTAAGGGGACGTAACACACGGACTGCTCTCAAAGTCCGTAAATCTAATGTACTAGTGGCTGCTATGGTAATGAACCTGGCAACAAAATAAGACACACCCATCAGCTATATGTATACATATTTTACACTTACACATTAGATACATTTTGGCATATTTATAGTGTGCACATGTATAATTACACAAAACAATATAAGGAAAACAAAAAGTAAAAATTTAAAAAAAACAAGGATTTTGTTAAAAAACTAATATTTTTTTCTAAATATTTCAACATTATTGTATCATTAGCAAGACATCAAACTTGTTCTAAATTTCTTTTCAATTAAATGCACAGTAAGTAGAGAGTTCAGGGGCGCCATAAGTCCTAAAAAAGAAAGAAAAAAAACGACAAAAAGGTAGACAATTGTAATAAAGGTTATCGTATCGTTATATATCGGGTAATATTGTTGTTCGAGAGCTAAGATCGTTAACTTCGAATAAAATGAAAACTGATTTCATTTTTCTTAATAGTTGCTTACAATTTTCATATTATTTAAATACATGTACCATTGCATTTGTACTATTATTCCTGCTTCTATATATGTATACAAGTTTTATATTGTAAAGCTGTTTTTCACCATCTTGCTATATGCCCGCTAGGAATCTAAATATTGGGGACATACAATGTTAATATGACAACCCAAATACCTTACACCTACATTATTCTGCTATTTTTTTCAGATTACAACGCATATACACATATATCTTTTTTCGCATTTGTTGAAAGCCTGCCTTTCCATTATGCATCAACCATATGTAACCCCGAACAATTCGAACCTAGGAGAAGTGTGGGGGAAGCAAGACGCGCAAACATAATCCAGAGAAAATCATCGCCTTCCGGCGACAGACGGGATGTTTCCCGCCACATGTCATTGCTACATCATCTGCTTCTTTATGCACACGCCAATAAAAGCTTCGCAATCATCAGTCAGAACGGAAAACATGGCTTACTTCTGCCTGCTTTCCCCATACTCCAAGAGCTTAGGGCGGGCTACAAATGGCTTTTTATAATTGATAATATAGATGTGTTTTTCCTATTAAGAAAAGATCTGACACAAATGCCTAAAAATTAACATATTTTATGTTTTGATGTTCTTTTAAATAATATTTAATTGCATTTTGAAAGGCAGATGTTCAAACGGACTCTATAGTGTTTTGTTTCTTCTCCCGATACACAGGAAAACTACAGTTTTAAAATCAAAGAAGTCTAAAAAGCAGTTCTGTATGTATATTTACTGTTGTCAGGCAATCCAAACTAAATTAATCTACACGTTTTAACACGTGAAATTCATTGACTGTTTCCAAGATGGGGGAGCTTTGGAATAATCGACAAATCAGACTTTAAAGTAAGTGTACAAATAAATTTCAACATCGTTGCGTTTTAGACTCCTTAATTTTGATTGGTTAACAGCTTCTGTCCCTGAATATTTCAACTCACTCTCTATGCCTGTCACTAGTTTCAAAGGTCTTAAAACCCGCAAAGAGCGGACAGCAGGTTGGTTTATAAATTGTGGAAATAGCCATTCCAGACAGCTTTATGTGTAAAGTTTAAAATATTGCCATTGGTTATAATCAATAATTTAATCAAAGATTTTATGACAGTTGAATTGAATATACAAATATTTTAAGCCAACTTATCATGAAAAGAACATTACCAGGGCTTTGTTTTCGTCACACTTTTATAACTTATTTAAAGAATTGATACTTTACAGTGTTACAAAATATTTTTCAAATTAAGCAAAAGAAATATGGAATTATATCGAATTCAAACATTGAAAATTCGGATACCATTGTATCCGGGTAATAATCAATTCGGATACTAGATGTATTTAATTCGGATAACATTATATTCGGACAAAAAACAACGCAAAGTAAAATTTTGGTTAACTTACCCTGTTACTACAACTACAAAATCCATGATGTTCCAAACGTTGCGTAGATATGAACCACGATGTAATATAAAACCTAATGCTACGATCTTTAGTAAAGCCTCTACACAAAATATAATCAAAAAGTACAATTCTGTCTTCTCCTGAAAATTAAAAAAACGACAACATTTTGTGGAATATTCAAATAATACATGACGTGACGTAACGTATGACATCATATTTGCATTACCGACGTGTACATATTGCTACACAAGTACATGTACTAGGCTATCTGTTTTACATACAATTTTAGAAGTTAAAGGAGAATCGTCCTTGAAATTGTATGACGAAGGGCAATGAAAAAGAAATACGTATTGTGCGTAATTGACAAGCAGGCGGTGGGGTTGCTCGAAATTTGGAAATCATACTGTAATAACTATGCTTTTGGATCAGGGATCAGACTACTAAAACAGTTTTCCTCTTTTTCTCTCAATGCTACTTCCTGTTCAACTTATTTTTCAATAAGTATAAACATTGTAGACGGAGATAATAGCCTTGTCCCTGGTCGGTCGCGTCTAGAGATGTAAAGTTAGTATTAATTCTCTAGAGAAACGTGGACACTCACCACTCATTCTAGTTAAGTTAGATTCCTTGAGACTGAATTTACCTTTGATTTATCGGAAATGTCTGTTTTTTGGATAAGATTTTCTTTAAAACAATTATCGGATTTATTCGTATTGCATGTAGGCGGAAATATGCATGAGACTAAAATTATGGCACGCTAAATCATACAATTTTGACCGATTCTTGAATGCAGCCTTATGTTGAAACCATATTTTTGTTAAGGAAAAATATATTTTTAGTATTAATTACTTACATTGTTTTTTTCTTCAAAGATTCATTTTAAACACATTAAGACACTGTGATCAAAGATTTGAAATATTTCTTCGTATATATGATTTTTCTGATGACAATACATTTAATTGGTGGTAAGATATAATATTTTATATATTCAATCAATTTAATTGATTAAAGCAGTTTGGTGTATGATGTATATAAAGGCCGATTATGCCACAGAAATGCTTTTCTTTTAATAACGCAAAAGTTTTTATATTTTGTTTATAGTTTCCAAAAATTGTTGGTCAATTGCCGGCATCAGAGTTTTCCTCTTTTCGGTAGATTATAACAGTTATAGTGTTTTAGCATTAAGTTTGGTAGTCAAAATATTTCTTTGCTTTTTGCTACATTTATGACAAATAATTTCACAGCATTACTTTCCTCAGGTAATAAGCATCTAACATGCTCTCAAACCATTATTGAAACATGATAAAACTCATAAGAAGGATAAAAAATATTCATTTGTAAGGCATAATGTGCCTTTTATGATACCATTTTTTATATTCGTCTTGCGTATAAGAAATAGCCAAAAAAACTAAAATGATGACAAACTAAAGCACTTACTATTAGTAAGCCAAAAGTTTTTTCTTGGTTGAACTTGTTTACATGTATATTAATGACCTATTAGTATAGTAACTCTTTTTTGCAGCATTAATTTTGAACATAATTACATTGTTCAAATAGCATTTAACCTCCATTTAGTATTATACATATGTATATATAGAATGTTACATATATTAAAAGATTGTCAAATATATGAATTAATATTTTGAATCTATCGTTTAATATAATTGGACTAATAATACTGAGTGTTTTCAAAGTCAAGCTCTATCATGTCTATTGGATAATCATGACATTTTTTCCCTTTATACTCGTATATTATTGTAAATTAATGTTTAAAAAAAAAGGCTTGTTTTCACTTCAAATGTAGGGCTAATATGAAGTTCACAACGACATTATGAACACAAAACATGGCCTTTTTACAAAATGTCTTTATGAGAAAACTCGGTTATTATTAGAATGGAGACTTTTGATTGGCTCTCCAGCTTGGCCAATATGAATCTGTTTTTTATTGAAAATTGTCGCCATTTTGATTTGCTTCAAGGTAGGTTTCCGGGACAGTTATAAAGCAAGGATCTCTTTTGCAATACCTCACAACAACGGAATTCTACAGTATTTATTTTTGGTTAACTAAGTACTTAATTTTTATAGATTATGTGTAGTTAATTAATAAAATTGTCAATAATTAAGTGTTTTCATAATGTCCTTGTTATTGGCATTTGGCCTCAGGCTAATATGACAGTCTTCAGCGCAATAGCAAGGTCATTATAAAACAACTTAATAAGTAACATTATAATAAATACGATACTATCGTATACATAGATGCTGTCAGTTTTCGGAGTCTTTTCCTTTTTTTGTTTCAAATAAAGGATTGAAAGGCTGTAATACAAATTCGTATTAAAATTTCAACCGTGTGATCATAGTCTGCACTGTTCGCTTTACAGCCAGTTCTTATTTAGAAAGTTCCCACTAAAGGCACATTATGACCCAGAAATGAATAATTTGTGTTCTTTTTTAGAAAGAACAAACATGTCTTTATAACGTTTAAATAATGGTTTTAGAGCAAGTAAGTTGCTTATAGCGTAGAAAAAGTAGCACTGAAAGTGATGTTCTGTGTCATAATAGTAGCAAAATGTAAACAAAGTAGTTTGTTGACTTCCATACAAAATACTACAATACTATATTTGTACTATTGCCAGAAATCAACAGAAGGAAAAGATGGTTCAGGTAATTGGCCAAATAAGTAAATTTTTGGTAACAATATAACAGAAAACCAAAACTAAAATGCATTTGAGAAATAAAAATAAAACAATTTCTGAGGCATATTGGGCCTTTAAATATCTCTTGTATCCATGTATGCATGATGTGAGATATTGTCCGAATTGAGAGATAGTCAAGACCATTTTAGATAAAGATAAATTAAGGAAAAAGATAAGTTAAGTGTATGTATATACTTATAAAGGTACATGTATATACTTACAAAAAGTACGTGTAAATACTTACCAGCTTTTCAGCTAGAGGTGTTTTGTCGTTCTGTGGTAAATGTTCTTCTAGGCCTAATACGACACAGTTAGCGATGATAGTAAGTAGCACCATATACTCGAACGGCGTGATCTTCAGTTAAGGAGGTAAATTCAAATATATGTACATGTATACAAATTTTGCGACATCCGGTTGCGTTCGCAGTAAAAATAAATAATCTCCACAAGAAGTATTAGTGAGAAAAGTAATCACCAAATGATAAATTGCATATTTGCTATATCTACCATGCAAAAATAAATAAGTAGATTGATAAAAAGTGGAATAGATAGATATATAATAAATAAATATATAAATCAATAAATAAATTTATAAAATAGGAAAATAGAAAAAGACATAAAAAAAACAAAAAAACAAAAGAAAACCATCCTGTTCTACTTATTGGTTCTTACTCTACATGAACTGTATATGGCATTGTACCTATATTCTCTGACTATTTTTCCTAAATCTACTCTCTCTCTCTATATATATATATAGTCACATTCCTCCATTTACGGGGCATCGGTCTATTTGAGACCATACTTGTGGGGTTTATATTTAATGTGGGGCATACATAAGGCCTCGCAACTCTGGCATGTTTAAAACGATGTATGGGGGCGTAGGCTACCCTTTCTAACATAGTGCCCGTAGGCCGGTTTTTAGTAGTAAATGATATATGTCCCACAAATGTATATATTTTTAATGGGGTTTTATGTTATTGGTCAATATGTTTTCACCTATGGTAAAATTAAATATATAGTTGATATATATAACTTAGTACCCCTTAGTTCTGTTGTTTGGAAATGTCATTATATGCCTACATAGTGACATATATAAAAATGGCTGCATGAAATAATGCCACTCAACTCGCGTCTTATAAATAGGCCCCGTAAGTGAAGATATGTGTGAATATATATATATATATATATAAATATATACATGTATATATCTATACTGCTTCAAAAACTACATTTAGTGAACAAAATCTAACATAATAATGTACAAAATACTAAAGGCAATATACAAGAGCATGTATAGTTCAATAGATTTTCGGATGGAATGTTGTTAAATTACTAAGACGATTGTCCACAGATAATAGTGGCATGGCCGATTAGTTAATGAATCGGATAAGTAATCTAAAGATCACTCGTTTTGTGAGTTCATACCCCTTCAGGGACAAGCTGTGGTGGAATAAGAAACTTTATACTCATTGCTTACTAGTGGGTTCAAGGAACGAATTCCAAAGTGTATATATAAGCGTATAGCTCCCCACACAATCCAATTAAAATAAATTCTGTAAAATAATAATAAATTTATAGAAAGTTGCATAATTAACCCATTACTGCATGAGCATTTTGTGAACAATGGTTGTTTTCATGGAAAACTCTCCCGTTACAAGTTCAAATTGCTATAAAACTATAAAAAAACTGCTTCAATACTTATCAAACTTGGCACAAATGTTGACAGGACCATTGCCTTTGTAACAACATGCTCAGTCTTAAATTTCCTGTTACCATGACAACGAGGGGACATCTCAAAATTGCCAAAAACCCTATTTTGCGTTGATTTTTTCCATCAAAATTGATTTCAAAGTGCTGCAACTTCTCAATGGATTGAGTAAGAGTCAAAGGCTTTTCAGCGTTGGTTACACGTTACCTTATGATCGACCTGGGGTCATTTTAGCCTCTCGCAAGTTCAAAACTTTTTCGGGGATGAGGGGGGCTGCCGCCCCCTTCAAACCCCGAAACACAAGGGGGCACATCCCCTTTCTGGCAACCCCCTCATGTATCTTTTGGATAGTCGGCTGCGCTGAAAAAGTGGTCACTTTTTTAAACAATATTTCTAAAACAAAACAAGTGTTCGGGCATAAATAAGGCACTTTTTCACCATTTGAGACAACAAAAAAGGGAATTAGGGGGTGAAAAGGTGTTAAAAGGCGTGTTTATCTGGTAATGGGCTAAGGACTGAGTGAAAGCATGTGGACCAGTTTCTGAGCAAATATACATGTATCTGTGCATGGCCAATGGATATCCTTAGCATTCTTCTTAATTAGCCTTTAAACTTATATTTTAAAAATTGTCGAAATTATGACGGGGGTGCCAGTATCATTTCAGGCAGAGATGTTTCTGAACCACGTGACAACTTTTCTTTTTCCAATTTCCTATATTTTATATAACATTCTGTGTAAGGTAAGCGGTGCCCCACTGAATGTACTTGGTCTTTGTATCCATGTTTTCTAGACAAATGAATGTATGCTTTACAAATCAAGTCCGTTGTACTTAATTAAATCTTGATTTCCCTAGTGCGTCTTTACTTTTACTTTTTGAACGTTCACAAAAATACCAATAGAGTCATTTTCTTAGTCATAAAAAGCTTGATACTTAAGGAAAACTGTGATAACAGCAAAGTTCAAAGATCGATAACATGTTTTAAAAGTTCTATGCTACAATATATCAATATTAGGTTACCGCAAAGTTTGTTCGGATGTTTCAAAGGGCATCTACATATCCCAGCCTTTTTAGGCGTGGAATATTTGGCGATCAATTCTAGGTTTTATACAACATATACAATGCTGTCTAAGGACTATTGATCGGAAGTCTCTCTGTGTACCATGATGGAAGATTTGTTAGCATGTCCCTACTTTCGATATACAGCATACTAGAACACTAGCAAATATTTGCTGTACACTTTTACGATTAAGCCCACACGAACGATCATATTTCTTTCTAGAATTATATTGTTTCTATTTTGAATGCTGGGAAAACTTGTCGTCTGCTAAAAATGTTAAAATGTCGTCTGCTGTATTTTAATCATTTTTGTGAAAAAAATAAATGTTTGATTGGCAAACAACGGAGAACCTGAAAAGACGCTAAGATTCTCTGTGTCTCAAATGATACCAGCCCGTTTGTTTGCTTAGACAATTTTTATCTCTTTTAGCAGGCTAAGGGTTGTTGTTGTTTGTTGCTGTTTTTAATATTGCTGGAGATGGCGTTGATACTAAATAGAGCATGGCCAGATTGTACGGATGTACAGTCTGGCGTGGCAAAGGCTGATAAATTTAGGGTTACATTAAACGTTCATATTGGTAACTCTTTCCTCGTCTGCATTTTATCTAAATTCTTAACAAGATAATGTTTTACATGAGAATGTTAAACTGGTTTTACCTATATAAGTTAATATGTACATGATGAAAACCTATCACATATATATCTATCCAACTACATGTAGTTACTATCAGGAACAAAAATTTGCGCAGGAATCAGATATTCATTTTATACATGTATATACAAGAACACTACTGTACAAGTATCTCTGTTATTTGAGATATCATTGTGTTAAAGTTAGATTTTGACGAATATTTGACACAAATGAAGTAAACTTTTACCATAATGCTTTTAAACATACTAATACTTAAGACTATGAAAGTTTAGTATATACATAACATCATTTATGGTATAATAAGTCTGTTCTTGCACTGAACTATCTTATATCATATACTGGAAAATCCTGCTAAAAGTACATTTTCTTGGAGACAAAAATCAAGCATTTTTTTCTGCAGTGTCTATAACTTTGCATATTCACGTTTGGAGAGGTAGGCGTTAATGCAAATCAGGCCCTTGTCACGTTTATTACATATCGTCTGCAGTCTGGGCATTCTTTCATGTATTCCGTCCATCAACAATTCGTATTTCTTCGGTAGAGTTCGTTACATTCCGTAGGAATCATATATTTCTTTTAATTACTGATAACTGAGATCTTTGTATCATTGTCAATTTAAAGCTTATTTGATTTGTGTAAGAGCACGGAAAGTGGCGAATTGTTCCGTAAATTCCTGAGTAAAGCAGACTCTCGACTCTCTCCTGTCCCATTCCCTGTGCCCTTTGACTTTGTGGGCCTATTATTCAATCATTTATTTGTTTTCTTTGAATTCCTTATCAGTTACAAATTATTTCCTATTATTCAATTATTTATTTGTTTTCTTTGAATTCCTTATCAGTTACAATTATTTATCATTTTAGTGATTAACCTTTCCGTGCCCTGTCCTATCCTGTTTTTGTTCGGGGTTGCCAATGGTTGTTGTTGCTGGTCATGTGGGGGTTGCGTTCATTGAACGCCTTCTTTCATAGTTGATCTTGTTTATCATATTTTGTAATAAAGACAGAAATTAATAAAAGCTGATCAACTGACCATGAAAAAGTTTTGTCTAGACAACGTCGGAAAAGTCTTAACGCCAAATATTAGATTACTTATTAAGAAACAGCTGTATTTTGATAGTTATTACATAAGAGTTCCTAACAAGCGTCTATGTAATATCTGATTGAATAAGAATTTAATAACTTATCAAAGTTTACGATATTTAAACAATGCAAAGAACACCACATTAACGGATAGTTTACTTCCTGTCAGAGAAAACAAGAATATTTGCAAGCCTACATGGATGTAGGATGTAGAAAACTGTAAGACTGATCAATGCAATATACAAGATCGATATGATTAAACATTAAGTTTCATGATCAACGATGTGTTCTGACTGAGCATACTTTTTCTGAAAAGTTCTTACATCGTAAGATGGGAAGGAGTTTAGATGGCGTAGGTTTGATGAGACAAAATACAAGAACATGTCATTGTAATGAAAACACATAAGAAAAGTCTCTGTTAAATGAGTTATTAATTTATTATTTACGGATGACACACATGTACCATGATAAAATACTAAATAAACAGTCGAATTGACTAACAATCCCAAAAACATTTTTATATTTAGGGTTCACAAAAAAATTTTATTCTGAAAATTGTTCTTTTCCCTTATTTTTTCAGAGCTTTAAAACCCAGATTCGTTTCTTAAAATTACATTATCTTTACTGTTTTTAAAATTAGGGTCATATGCATTCAAAAAAATTTTGGTTAAAAAATGAATAGAATACAACCCAAAACAACTTAATACTTTTACTTCATCAATATTAAAAGAAAATAAATTTGAATATTTTCAAGAAATGCGGTAAAGCATACCCTCTTTTTCACAGTTCTATTCTTTTGTTCTTTATAGGGGCAACAACTGAATGCAAAACATTCGTAGGGATTAAAATTTTT